TCGGACCCGGAGCAGCCGTAGATTTACTGCAACACCGGTGTGACGCTGCTGTGATTTCCGACCCAATGCTCGCATGCTACAAGAATAACTGCACCAAATATGTCACATCGGGCGCTGAAATGGTCAGCACTTTTCCCACAGATACTTAATCACCAAGTAGTTTAAAATGTAATACATCTGGAAACGGCTAAATATTATAGATCATTCCTCGGGAAGCGAAATAGTGGAAGAGGAATGTCGTACAAGTTCTACTCGTGAGTGTCCCCTAACCAGAGGAAATACACTGCTGCCGTGATTGATGACAAAGAACCCACTCTGAACCTCTGTGCCTCACAATTATCAACAAATGGGCTGGAGCAGATTTTATGTCATGATTAAAGCTGCTGTTAATTTCACATGAGGGTAATGAGTGGGGAGATTGACGGCCACCGTCCGACACTCCATCATCCCTTTATAGTTAGTTTAAGCGTTTTCACCACTCTTTTCCTCCTTCATTTGCATTTCGCCTCATTAGATGTGGCCATTTCTGAGGCCGCCCGCGAAAGCCATTTCCTGCAGTTAATGCATTTTATTTGATCTGCCCAAAACCTCCTCAGTTAACTAGCTGTCATTCTGGCGTTTGATATGACATCACTCCATTAGCGCCTGCCGTGCCACCTCCCCGTCCACACCCGCCGCCCCTGAAATGCCTTTCGGCAATTACAATGTGCGACCGTCTCCGGGTGCAGCGCTATTGTGTTTTCGCCGGGTGTTATCTGCCCCAGTTGTTCCGTCCGTCTTTCACTTCCCGATCCTTTTCCTCGAGAAGGTCTCTTTTTGGGGGGGTTTATTTTTCACAACGGCTGGAGCAGAGGCCCAGTGGCGGGCAGGAGCCGGGGCCCGGAGGACTCTGAGTGCCCGGCCACAGTGCGAGGCCCCCGTTAACCAAGGGACCGGAGGTGTTTTGCAGGGCCTAATGGCATTTTGATGTTTATAAGCACAGAGGATGTGGGGGTCGGAAGGGGGGGGGGTCTGTCAGCAGAAGACTAGCGGAGTCCTGACAGACGGGGAGCGCGTTTTCTCATGTCACAGCTGATTACATTCACTCCGGAGTGGGGAAAAGGCAGGGAGGAGATGCAGGGTGTCGGGATAAACGAGGGAAACTTCCACTTTGTTCCAGAAATAAAGGACATTCTTCCCTGAAACAGTGGCGCTATTTACTGTTAATAGAGCCACTTTGTCGCAATTATGGCTGAGTGGGGGCAAGTAAAACATCAAGACTTTGGCATGTGTCATATTTTTAAAGACTTCGACCTGTAATCAATCTGAGAGACGTTTTGTATCCCTTTTCTAGAGAAAGGTTTACACATATTTACTTTCATTATCAATAAATTCACATGATTATCAATTTGCCTTTTGTGTGGTCCTGCGTCCGCCTTTTCTCAGATTTATTAGACGTGTTTGACGTTGTTGTTATAAAGGTCTCGCACACCGCAGGAGCCTTCGTGTGGACAGATCTGCCTGCTTGTGTCGGCACCACTTTGTCCATTTACCTTTTGCTCTCTGTGCAGACCTGGAAAAAAAAAGCAATTAAGTTTAAAACGGCCACATGAAAAGAGCAAAACCAAGAATAAACTCCAGTTAGTTTGTGTCAGACAATTTTGGTTTGCAGGGGTCTCTCCACGCTGTGTGGGGACGCTATTTTTCCTTCTATTCTTGAGATTACACGGGTTGCTGCACCGGGTGACCCTCATGGTCAAACCGGCAATGGAGAGCCCGGCAGAGTTTAGGTCTCCCCCCCCTTCATACCGTGAGGAGAAAAGATGCATTTTTAAGTCGATCGACTGGCTTTTTTGTCCTTTCAGAGACACTGATTTTGTGTTTGCTGATCCATGTGTAGCCTTTTATATTCGGCTATAATAAACTGTGCGCTGTGAATTAGATACAGCAGTCGTGGGGACTAAAAGGTGACGAGATGATGTCACGCGATATCATGGAAGCCCGAGGAGTTCTAAGGTTTGCTGCGCCACATTGTGAGAATTTCTTGAGTTTCAACTTCAACACGGCGCCGACCCGAGTGGCCGGCGCCGCTGAAAGCCGCCTTCATAAGGAATGAAAAGAATGGAACACAATGGTTAACATGCAGGCTCTGCAAACTGGAAGATCGGTGTTTATCTCCTCCGACACCTGCAATCAGTTCAAATGCTGGGCCAGGTCCGTCATTTTGTGCCTCCCCGCCGAGGTGTTGAGAGGAGTCACCGCGGCGGAAAATCACCTGTTTAGGTGTGCAACACAGCCTCGCCTCTCCTCATTCCTGCCTCTCCTCCCCAACTGCCGTCCATATTACCCACAGCCCGGCGGAGATGCGGCAGTAAAGCCTGCTCTCTGTTCCCCCAGAATAACACAGCACCTGAAAGGGCTATCATCGAATGAAGCTCAATGATAATGTTCCAAATCAATCTGAAAGCTTCTCCAACAACCCATCACTCACTCAATGACACCGAGCGCAGCAGATGCTCAGAGAGACTCGGAGAGACTCGCCCGAGCGGATCACATTATCTGCGTGTTGATCTGTAGCCGTTATAACTCTGTTTAATGGCCCCTGTTGGCTTTTCTCTCAGTCCACATTCACGATCACAACACCCATAGTACTGTTTTCACCCACATGGGTCCAGAGACTCCTGCATCGACACTTCAGAAAGCATCTTATATTTGCAGAACAAAGACCACCACCAACAGCAGCAGCTCCAGGTTTTATTTCTTCTGATCTACTATTCTTGTTTTGCGGTCATAAATGAAGAGGAATCTATATGTATATTTAAAGGCATTAGTAATTCGAAAAGCTGTCTAGGAACAGCAAAACATATTCACCTAAAATGTTACAATTGACAAATGGATGATGCTTTTAATGCGATACGGAAACTGAATAAATTCTGATATCACGACCATTTAACTCCCATGAGAGGCTGATTACTTCATTCCAATGTTAATGTTCTCCTCTGATATCTATATATTATGTAAACTGGTCTACAGGCAATATAAATAAAATAAAAATATGTTTACAATATTATCTGACATGAATTAATTAACATGGTTTGCTTCAAATTCACTTGATGGTTAGAAAACTTCCCCAACAGTTGACAAATCTTATTTTTAGGATTTTGAAGCCATTGAAGCGCATTATTTGTTATTATGTGTTGGTAAATTACTATTTATGTGACACAAAACTGCTTCATTCAAAACAAAGCATAACAACTAAGGAAACGCTACCAAGTGCACGGCGAGATGTTTGAGCTTTGTTGTGCTTTTAAAACATGTTCAGTAATTCTAAGAGCTTTTCAAACCAACGTATCAATTCACATTTTTCTTTAAATAAGAAAAAGTCTCGGGGGGGATTCTTTCCTTCTCTGTCTCTCGTGACAACATGTTAGATGGAAATGGTTGAATGGTTTGATGTCTGCTGTCTCCATCATAATAAATGTGTACCCACATTATGCAGATACCAATGTTATTACAAAAAAAAACCAAATCTATTATGCAGTACAACCGTTTAAACTGTGTACATTTATCAGTGTGACAGTATGAGTGTAGAGAGGCGCTTCACAGAGCGTTGGAGCTGCCAGGTGAGCTCACGTTGTTCCGCAGGTATGTGCAGGTGTGAGAGCTCGCCGTCACATGTCGTGCTGAGGTTCTGTCGTCCTTTCTGGCACCTCTGCATCTAAAGTCAGATTTGGGCTTTTCTAACATCTGAGAGTTACCCCGAAGGGCAACTGCTGGACACGTAGAAGACGATCTCGCGATTATCGAGGAAAAAGTGGATGACTTTCAGACGAGGAGAGGCAATATCAATCACGGCCAATTTAAGGCCACCTACATGAAATATGATTTCATAAGACAAATGCAGTGTCATTCTTAATGTGCTTAACCTTTACTGTCAATGAAAAAGTATTGATCGCTCCGTGGCATTTTTTCATCATTTGATTTCAGAAAGTGTAATAATATATGGTGCTGGCGTAAGATAAGAAATGAATGGCCACTGAATGATTTTGGGTGAACGCGGCTGAATTTCTTGCAGAGAAGAGGAAACATTGATGTCTCTCAGTAAAATACTCAGCACGTGGTATTTTCACAAAGATGTCGTTTAAAAAACACATGCAATCCTTTTTTGTTATTTCAAATGTTTGAACTCTCCTTTCAATTTCAGCCGTTTTGTTTGAATAGGTTTCCAACCGCTATTAGCAGCAGCGAGCAGGCAGCCTGCTTGGAAGCAACGTTTCTATTATTTTTCTATTCTATTGAGTAATTGGGAGGTCTCCTATCTCGTCTTGCTCTTTGATCTACTTACTCAACCTAATAAGACTTTGCTCTGCTGCACTACAACCAAATCAGCAGTGCATTTTCAGCCCCCTAATAAGTGGTTAGCTTGATTTATACGGGTAATCTCGGCGATGTGGGGGCGCTCTACAACCCGTCCCCGATGCAGGGAGCCTCTTTTCACAGCCACGGGCCAGATGAGTCCCTCGTCTGGGTGGAAATGGTCATTTTAACCCTCCCCTCTTTTAAAAGTAACAGCGCGATATCGCATTGTTACATGACGCGGGAGGAATTCTCAGTCGAAATCTATCGACGGCGGTGGGCGACACGGTGATGCATGGCCTCGCCGCCCGGCTCTATTGTGAAAGCGGATGCTGTTGGAGAGTCTCGGCTCTGCCCGTGGGGAGCCCCGAGGGCCAGAGGAAGCACTTAGAGTGGTAAAATGGCCACTTATTCACCCCTACCCTCCCGTTCGCGCCGCTCCTCGCTACCCTTGAGCCTCCCACTGGGTTCGGGAGCACAGACCTCTGGGAACTGTTTGATGGACTACGGGTCCATACAGACCTCGCCGCGGTTAGCCTTTTGTGGCATTAGCAACAATGAAGCCCCGCCCCCACACGGAACCCACCTGAACCATCACACCAATAAACATCTGCACGGGTGACACAACGCGAGGCTGTTTTGACAAACGATTTCTTTGTCCTCAGCAGCTGAATCCATTGGCCAGCCAGGCGGCGGTGGCAGCGGCAGCCGCCATGGGATCCATCGCCGGGTCTCAGGTGTTCGGCAACGCCTTGTCAAACCTGCAAGGAGCCACCGGACAGCTGGTCACCAACGCACAAGGACAGGTGTGTACCTGAGGCTGAGATTACAAATTAAAAAAGCATTCTGAATGATCCATTATACCTACAGCTAATGAAATACTACAGTTCCCTTGGTTACAGATCTGTAAGATACGTTGCTGGACCATTTATCGCGTGCGAATGTGCAGCTCCAGACAAAACATTTGTATAGTATTTCTGATCTTTGCACATAGATTTCTAGTAGGGAAGTGTTGTGTCCAAGTCGTTATTTCACACTCTAGTAGCCAGTATATTAAGCTTTTTGGGAATAAACAAGCCCTTCTCTCTCCTATCAGAATGTGCCTGTTGCTGTAAAAACGCTGACCTTGTCATATTTACAGGGTGGCTACAGAATTGTTCCATCAGTAGCCAGAGGCTTGAACGATGATGCTTGTCATTGTGGGTCCCTATCTAATGAATCATCTTATCGCAGGTGCACACAGCATATATTAAAGGAGAATCGTGTGGACAATGTGCCCTTTTCATTCCACTCTGTTATTTACCGTAACACTTGGGCTGTTCTCAATTTAAACTTAACACAAACATGGTGATTCCCCACTAAAAACAAGCAAAAGCAGTTGAATTTGAATGGTTAAGGCTGACATTCAGGTTGCAGGTCCACCAGTGTGACCGGGCCTGTTTGTAGTGAAGTGTTGTCCGTGTGCGAGCGCTTGATGCTAAACGTCGCTAATGAGACAGTATGGACTCACGAGGTGCCCGGAGCGCTGGGTACGGATCACGGTGGATATGGACTCGATGCGATGCTCTGTGCTTTTGTAGTGTCTCGGCGGCTGACAGTCCCCGACATAATCAGGTCACAGAGACGGTCAAAGCCGCAGGCTACAGCCTTTACTCCCCACCTCATTATTCCACAGCATTATTCAGACGGAGGGCTCTGAAACACGCACTACCATATCAGAAGGTCCCGCCCCTGCCTCCCCCCCCCAGCACTGGGGCCATTATACAGGCTAACACATACCTCAAACAAGGCTAGAGGTCCACCAAACGGTATGTCAGCATGCAAGGGCTAAGAAACAGGAGCAGACGCTTTTTAACTGTTTGGAGATCTGCTTCCATCCGTTCAGGGCAGTGTTTTATTGAAATTGAGTGAACAATCTGTATCATTCCTGTACAACACGAGTAAAAAGTCACTGCTGCTTCAATTTAAAACATGGTATAATGACTTTGAATTCTTAATGTCCCCCACAACTCTGTCAAAACACCTTTTCATAAGCAGGAGCTCTGGGAACCTTGGAAAGTGCCGTGTTTGATGGACGCTTGGAGTTCAATATGTTTTTAAACCTTGATTATATTGGCCCCAGCTTCTTTAATCTCCAAGGAGAATCAACGAGGATCTTTTTATCCTCACCGCAACAGTGATTAAGGCTGCGGATAAAAGCCAGAATATTCACTGTCACTGCCGATATATATTTTTTTCCTTTGTAGCATTTTTGTGAACATCTTGCAAATCCTCCCTTTACCCGCAGCTTTAATGTGGCCTTGTAACTGTGTGATGAATGAAGACATTAGGGGCCGTTTTTACAAAGCTTACCGCACCTCCTGTAAAGGTGTAGACGAAAACCCAGTTTGATAAATACCGGCCCCTCAGCTTTGAATATGGAACCTACAGAACGGTGTATTCTGCAGAGAACCACAGGTAAGGAGCACATGCACGGTTAACCTGCAAAGCGAGTGTGCCCTTCGTATCGACGGAAGCTTCCAGCCCTTAGATTAAGTGTAACAGCAGTGTAAACGGCTGTTGCCCTTGTAACTGTTAATCTTCTGCAGGGCTACAACTATTGATTATTTTCAGTATCAATTATTCTCTCGATGAACCACAAGACCCCGGATTGCTTATTTTGTCCGACCAACAATCCCAAAACCAAAGATAATTTATTGATAATGATATAAAACAGAGAAAAGCAGCACATTCTTATATTTGACGGACTGCAATACGCTGAAGTTTTACTTCTGTTGTATAAATCAACAACTAACCATTGCTGCATTAATCTAATGTAACTGCATCTTGTAATCTTGAAGATTGTACAAGGGCTGTTCAATTAATAGAAAGTACCTGAAAGCTTAACCAGAAAATGTCTTCTGACAAATAAATAACAGACTTGTAGCCTTTGATTTGCCCTGAATGTTTGCTTTTGTGGTACTTGTGTGTTCACACGAGTCCAAACTTCCCCAAACATTTTCCCTCTTGGGTCTCAATTGAGCGCATGAACAGCGGAGGAGAGAAAATGGGCAGAGATATTGCCTGGCGACCATGGCGAAAGATACGGATTGGCCTGGCCGGAGAGATGAGATGACATTTCTGTGGAAACAAGAGCAGCATAATCTTAATGAGTTCTGCTGGGCGGAGAGCGGCGCGTTACTCGCATGCCGTACGAAGTGGAGCGGGAAGCAAACACAGGAGGCCAAATAAACGAGTGCACACTGAAATCTAACGTAGGAGAGGGGCCTCAGCAGCGATCAAGAGGAGCACCTGAGGGCTGCGCGTTTGCCAAACGGGGCCGTGCTTAAATTGCACCTGAAGGAATGAAAATCATTGCACGTCTCCAACTATTTTGTTGTTGTTTTTCTGTTCAGAAAGTACATTTTCATGTTTATAGCAGAATTTATAGCAACGTCAAAACGATAGAAACCAGTAACGTGGCAGTTGCTTTTGTCACTTTCGTCTGACAGTAAAAGATAGAAGAACGAGTGAGAGATTCAAGCAGAACGGTTACACAAAGGTGTATATGTATTAGGTTGGGCATTTTTAGAAAATATTTTGACAACTATTTTGAATTTATAAGGTAAATAAACTTTACCTCAATAAGCTGAAGTGAAACTAAATGAATAATTTGGATCGAAATGCTAAATTAATATGTAAACCTGAGATTCTAACTCATCACTGTTTCATTAAATCCCCTTATTTATGAAACCAAAGCGCTTAAGAAGTACCGCGGTTTGATTGTCATTATCTTAATCTGTAAACTCGATGATTACTTTTATAAATTAGGGCCTCGCTCTGTAAACATTTCCCAATTAGGACATTTGATAATAAGGTCTTCCCTCCTGTCTATAAATGATCTGTCTATAAACAGTTCTTAAAGAGCGTTGCCCTTAAAGCTCAAGAAGAGCACGAAACATCTGCCCAGGAGAGTCAGAGGGAGAAACATTGCATTCTGGGAACGAGCGCTAAGCTGTCAGCTGCCTGCTATTTTATTATGCTTATAGAACAACCACTTAGTCCAATGACGATGAATAATTGAGCGGAACAAGTTCCCTGCCGCGGCGGCATGCAAAGCGAGATCGGTGTGACTCGGGAGACGCGAGCGTCAGGCGGGGCAATAAAATATGCTAAGTGGCAGGAGAGCATTACAGCGAATTTGTAAAGCCGCTGCGGAGAGAGAGATAAATTATCTCTCCCCTAATGCGAAGCAACGTAAGCAAATGAGCCGTGACAAGGATGAATTACAGATTGTCGACCCACCTTTCGCTCCCCGATCCCTCCCTATTATGTCAAAGGGAGGAGGGGGGGGGCATAGTGCCGAAACACGTGGCGGCGGTGGCAATAAAGGAGCCAGACATGGCCCTGGCTTATCTAAGATACGTTAGAAGCTGGTTGTAGTTTTGTTTTTGAGGTGTCGAAGCTTGAAATAAAATAAGAACATAAAAAAAGAAGATTTGAAGACGGAGCAAATTTTGTTTCAAAAACCTGCTTCTTGTCCAGTTGCCAAATAACAGACCTTTGAAATGACGGGCGTCTCGTCCACGTTGCGGGCCGCTCTCTCCGGTGTAATGAGGCTTGGTGGAGGAGCGATGTCGGCGGGGGACGGCTGCTCAGAACCAGTCCCCAGATGACATTAACCTTCATCATGGTGAAGAGGCGCTAAGTCCCCCCCTAAAGCGCCACTCCTGGCCACACTCCGGCTGCTCCGAGAGCTAAAACGCTGCAGCGACACTCCGCCGCCCCCTTTGATCTGCCCCTTCTGATTACAGCCACAGAGGAGAGGAAAGCCTGGGCCGGAGGGGAGGGGGGGGGGGGGGGGTGAAATACCCCCGGGACCCCTGAAGTTGAATTAGAAACACACGGTCCTGTCTCTCCGATGCTCCTCTTTTCTCCCTCTTATTGTTTCTCTTTCTTTTCCGCCCTCCGGTGTGTGAGAGAGCCTCTCTGCAGCCTCCTTCTCACCCAGAGACAGACAAAGACACTTAAGCAGAACACACACTTAGACACACACACACACACAGACACACTCATCCCGGGTAATACAGTCAGTGGTGTGCACCATCACACACACAGGTAGTCAGCGCTGACCTTTGCCGTGCGCTCCCAGCAGTCTGCTTTTGGCTTCACTTGCTGAAGCCTGTAAAGCCACCAGACAGATGATCAGCGGACACTTGTGCATGTTTTTCCTTCTGGAAATCACACGCGGACCCACTCGAACACCGCGGGCTCTGATTAACCTCACAACGTGGCGAGATGGCCGGCTCGAGACGGACTCGCAGCGGCACAGATCATTAGCACTGATACCTCCAGTGGCGTTCATGCTTCCTGCCCCGTCTTCTTTCTTTTTTTTTAAACCGCCCGGCTGATTTTGTCTCCTCTCTACCCCCTGTTTGTAGATAATTGGAACAATCCCGCTGATGCCCAACTCTGCAGGGCCCTCCAGCCAATCAGGGGGTGGCAACCCAGCACTGCAGGTACAGCCAATTACACCTCAGCTTCTGACCAACGCTCAAGGCCAGATCATCGCCACGGTGATCGGCAATCAGATCCTGCCTGTCATCAACACCCAGGGAATCACGCTGTCACCAATCAAGCCTGGACAGCAGGTAACAGCCGCTGAAATGCACACAGATATACAGGGAGGTTTATCCTGTAAAGCCACTTAATGTTATATACTTACACTGCTGCGTCAACAATGATCGAGAGAGGACTTCAAAACTGTTGAATGAGCAACACCTAGTGGAGTCAGACCAGAGTCAGTTTTTGCCAGTTCTGCTCCATGCTGAACGCTGTGGGTTTTTCCTGCCTCAAACCACTTGGAAAGTTGCAGCTTGTGGTACATTGTATACAATGCACGTGTGTGTGCACACCATGTGTCGGTGCATGTTTGGAAAGCACTTGTCAGCCCACCTCTCAGACTCTGTCTCAGGGAGCATCCTGCACCCCTGCAGAGCCCCGCCACCACCCCAAAAAGAACTCAAAACACTCAAACACTCACGCCTCTGTCCTCCCCCTCCGACTATCCTTCCTCAATCACACTCTCCATCCTGATTTGTCCCCTCTGACCTGAACTAGAAGAATCTCCTTTTGATTTAAAGGACGGTGCCTAAAAACAATCGGGTGCTTTTAGTTTTTGTACACTAGTTTAAAATGTGTTCTTCCTCCAACTTGAAAGATCTATACAGCGGTCAATTGTGCAGCCAGATGCAGGCACACATCAGATAGAATGTTATTGAGTTGATAATGACGATGTCAGCGCAGAACCACAGGGTGAAAGTTCTCATTGAAGGCCTGTACAGTTTACAAGGTGTGGACTGCAGATGGACAGCTAATAGCGGCTTCCCAAAACACCAGATCATACTCTTGAATGAATTAATGCATTTGTAATAATGTTTTTGCCTTCGTCTCCACTTCAAAGCCCGCAATGTACACATTGTTCCACGGGCATAATTTACGGTTGTCAGAGCCTGCAGTCTAGAATATTTCCAGTGAAGCCAGATAATTCTCCGTGCCTGTCAGAAGTCCTGACAGTGTGTGCATCGCTGTTGACACCCCCCCCCCCCATCCAAACAAACACATGCCACGGAGAAAATAATTAATAGCAAAGAAGGAGAGGAGAAGCCGGCCTGGCTTACGGCAGAGACAGCGTTTCGCTTTAAGAGAGAAGACGTACCATCTTGATCTTGTAAAAGCAATTCGAATGTGCATAAAACATGAAAATACATCGTTTTTTCGCCATCAGAGGCAGCAGCTTGTGGATCATGAATTATGTTTGATACGAGGACTGCTGTGTCCACATTTATATTTCACATTCACGCTGCCATTATTGTCATCCTCGCCGGTCCGAAGAAGAGAGAGAAGACTCTAATTGTCACCAGCAGTTTTTCAAAACAAACTTGTTTTCTGCAGCGAAAACAATTGTTCAGCTGTGGAGTCCCTGACTCCCTCCATCTCCTGCAGGAGCAAAACCACTGCTGTGGCTTATTGAGCAGACTATTGACACTATACTCCGTGCTGTCACTTTAGATTCACATTTATTCATCACTAGCTATAAGCTATATGTCATTATATTCAGCTTCTAAGTGGCTAATTGAATATCTGTTGATTGGTTTATTAGATTTAATATGATCACCATAATGACACAATAAGCTGGAAATGATGATTGCTGTCATGATGTAGGTGAGGAAATAACGGATATTTTATTGCTGTCTATATCTTATATAAACTGTGTGTGTGTGTGTGTGTGTGTGTGTGTGTGTGTCCAGCTGCCTCAGACTCAGCAGGGTCAGACTGCATCGTCTCAGCCCAACCTGCTCCACATGCCCCACAGACAGAGTCCTCTCCACCAGGCCTCCTCCTCCTCCTCCACCTCCTCCTCTTCCTCGGCTCTCAGCGTGGGGCAGCTGGTCAGCAGTAAGTGTCCAACACAAAACATGAAGCAGGTCCGCTGACTCTTCAGACACCCAAATAAAACAAGCAAAACACAGTTTCTCGCGTAGCCGTTCAGCCCCTCGCCTGTTGTTTCCTAATGAAGAGATCAATAAAAATGAGTCACATTCTTTTATTTATTTAAAGCTGGACGTTTTCGAGCAAACATCATCTTAAGAGGAGTAAATGGAGAATTTAATAGAGATTAAGAAAGAAAATAAATATGGCAGTAATTAATTAGTAGAATTTGAGACATAAAAGGACATGATCATTTGGTCATTTTAACTACTTTCTACTCAATAAATATCAAACTGGTGAATTTAGAGTAACAGGAACAAAAGACAAGTTGATCGAACGGTGACATTTAATTTACCTATTAAATTTAGGCACACATTTCAACACTTTTTAACCCCAAACTCTCCCTGTGGCTAAATTCAGGAAAGACGGCTTTGTAATTTGTGCCTCTATTGCTCCGCGGGGACAGCGTCTACTGATCCTTCCATGGCTCCATGTTTCCTGACTGTTATTTCTTTTCTTATAAGTCTTTATTAGACTCCAAAGTGGCGTGTGTTGTGCGTAATGAACATAAGTTTCATTCTCCCCATGCGGGGGCCTATAAATCACAAGGCCGCAGCCTGTCAGCGTGCAGCTGTAGCCTTTAAAAGTCTGTTTTATTCAAATAAATTTCATTTGTCAGAGTCAATTCCCCTAAACTCTATGTAAACTCATTTCAAAGGCCGCTACTATGCCACTGAATTTAATAAAAAACATTGTCGCCATTGATCAACTTGTTGTAGACACTGTGTTTTGTGTGTGTTTACTTGTGGGCTGCAAAAAAATCGTATAAACCATTTTTGAGTCTGCACAAAATCACTGTGGCTCAGCTGTGCAGGAAATGGAATTAATGCTTTACGCTGAGTACGAGCCATATCGCCTCCTCTCAATATCACTTGCAGCAACGCATTCACAAAGAAAAATCCCGCGACAGAATCAGAGTCGTCTGCTGAGGAGAGAAGAAATGTCATTAGATCCGCCGGCCACAAACCCACAAACCGATTCAAAAGCTGAAAACGTCTCTTACTGTTATTTAAAAAGAATCAGATGGAAAAATGTTAATCACAAAGACGAATGTCGGCAATGTTTTTCTTTTGGGGTTGTTTTTCATTTTAACTTTATGCTTATCAAGAGAAAGTAAGCAAAGCATTAGCTCTTGGTTCGCTATCTGATCACAGGGACACAACGAGAAGGCTTATTGTCGATGCAGAGGCAGCATAATGCAGGAAAAGACAGAACACGTGTTGATAGCAGCGTAAATAAGGTCGGTCAACAACACTTGAGAGAGAGAGAACAGTACTTCTTCTAGTCACATTGTCTAAGACGTTGTACATTTAAATGACGGTCCGAGCTACAAACGTCATCATGGTTTAATCTTGTTCAGGTGCACGATGAGCATCTCAACGAAAGGAAAACAAACTTTTAAGATCGAGGACAGACAGAGACAAACGCTCACCCTTTATTGTGAGCCCAGAGAGCGATTGTGTCATTGTTTTTTCATTTGTCTCTTTTTTTTGTGAAAGCTTTAATGCTCAATATCGCCAAATGCTGTGAGAGCTCGTCCCTTCCCATTCGGTCCGCTCCGAGTCTCCGGTCCCCCGTCTTCCCCCCGTGTTCACGCGTCTGGGGCTCGCCGCGTCCGCTGCACGTCACTCACGCCGCACAACGAGATGGCGGCTCCCATAGATTTTTGCTTAAATACGCTTGGAGGATTCCTTTAATAATTCATTGATAATGACCAAGATGAATAATTCAGAGGCACAAACTTTGCTTTAGTAAGCAGGATGCCGGGGCACCTGACATTGATGTACAACGCAAAATCACTTTTTATTAGCGGGGAAATTTGTCAAAATGCTCCAGCGAAGTTTTTCAGATCTGCTCAAATGCGTTTGTTTGCATGAGGACGTTTCTCTGTAGGCCCAAACCGTCTTCACACGGGGTCAGCTGCATGAAAGCATGTCTTCAAATGCTCTTTCATGTTTATTTGAGAGTAGGATCTAAAAAAAGACCGCGTCAGGTTGTTTTTATTTGCACGCTGGATTCAAGATTTAACTTGTGAATCAGGGTCATCCCACGCCGCCCGCATTCACACCTCAGACAAATTTATTCGTCCAAACATCTCTGGGGTTTACAGCGCGGCAGACGGGAATAACAAGTTCTGACCCAGAGCTCGTCAACTTTTTTAAAAAGCGGTTCAGAGACGATCTCGACTTTGTTCACTCGGTAAAAAGAAGGAAAGCAGCAGAGGGGCAGAGAGCTGACGGAATGAGATGTGTGTGTGTGTGTGTGTCGCAGACCCGCAGACCGCCCCCAGCGAGGTGGACGGGGTCAACCTGGAGGAGATTCGGGAATTCGCCAAAGCGTTCAAGATCCGCCGGCTGTCCCTGGGTCTGACCCAGACTCAGGTGGGCCAGGCGCTGAGCGCCGCCGAGGGGCCGGCGTACAGCCAGTCCGCCATCTGCAGGTAAGACCGAAAGCTCAGGCAACGAGCGGCTCCTTATTTCTCCTCGAGCGCGTCTCGAATCCGCGTCGGCCGGTGCTCATCTATTTTTCCTCCTGTCCCTCCTTTTAACGGACATTATTAAGATATTAAAACACGTGAGCGGGTGGCGGCGCCCAGACAAACGAGGCTCTCGGGTCTGTCCGCTCCTCTCTGCTGCCTCTTCATTCGCTGACCTGACAGCCGGATAATACTTATGTAAAATACATACACAAGTATTACGCGAAGCACTTAAAGCATTTAATAATTACTAAGGCCCGACGCCAGACGCTCCGCTTGAACATGAGAGAACTTGACGGCGATGATCTGTTAATAAGATTGCCGTGTTTTACTGCTGCCACCGGGACGGTTTAGTCATAAATGGGGCATCATATATTCATGAGACAATCATGCAATCAGTGTTTCAGCCCTCCTGTTTTTCCACTTGACTAACATTTCGCAGGAAGACACCAAATGAGCCTCATTTCTCATTCAAGTCAGAATAATTGGGCAACACGATGCCCGAATGTGACCACGTGGTCAGATATGTTATTCAAGCATGCAGAAAACCATTCAAAGTGAAGGATTTATTTAAACGGTAACTAGTAAATGTTAAATGTCTTTTCTAAAATCTTTTTGCCGTTCTTTGTTTTCCAAAAACATAGAAAACGTCACAGAATTATCGGTTTCTGTGTTCTCATGTACTTTGCCGATGACCTGTACTGTTTATGTGTGTGCTACCACGCACTTTTAAAAATTTCATCACATCAACATCAAACAGCTGATAACATGTGAAGCCGCACGCCGTCCGTGGTTCTTATGAGGCTCCGCCAGCTCCGACTAATGTTTAAAGTCCTGAAATCACACATGAAATATTTACCGACAGGCATAATTCAAATATTTATAACATACATTAAAGGCCATTAGCTTCAAAAAGAAACACTCTGCGGGCTGTTATTCATGCCGTTAAGACAATTTTTTTTGTTTGTGTGACATTGAACATGACATGCTGATGTTTTAAGCAGAAGGGCAAACTTCACATGCTTTAGTTTAGCTAACATCAACACAGACGTGGAGTTTGAGGAGGGACGTCGGGACGTCGGGGCTCTGGGGCTCCGGCTCTGAACCCGGACGGTGAACAGACACTGACAGACGCTTCCATCGCGTCTCTTCTCATCGCTCACTGGGCTTTTTAGGCACTTTGTTAGTTTGTCTAAACTGGCTCAGGCTTTACAGGAGGGCCTCATCAAACCGATCATGTGTCCTTCTCGGGCTCAAACATGTTAACGCTGGCAGCGGATTTACATTTTAAATACACAATTTGAGATGGAAACCCTTTGGTTTTCACACTACCATTAATTACATACACTATTAAAAAGTCTGAGTCAGCTTAAATAAACAAGACCAGCTTGTACAAATGTTATTGCATTCAAAGAACAGCCAGACATCAAACCAAAGCTGTCATCAATCTCTTACAGATATACATGAAGATCACGAGGGAAGATGTAACATGTACAACAGCTGAAAACAACACTTTCTTTTCAATTCTGAAAAAAAAATATTCAACTACATAAAAACTGAATGTCTTTTTATGAATGTCTGTGTCTGCTTACACTATATAGAGTTTGAAATGAGCCAAATTAGCATCTAAGTGAGGAAATATTTAATTAACAAACTTTACAAATAATCTGACAGACGGACAGTTATGTTGAGCAATATGAACAAAATACCAATATTATGGTAGTTATACATCACTATCGTTATTAATAAATCTTGGACATCAACGTCTATCCTATAAAAGGCCTTTTAACATCCCCACATTGGTCCAGAAGCAGAGAACAGTTTATCTGACTGTTGAAAAAAGATATGCTCTCACTGTATATGTTTCTCCTTTTAACTTAGTCTTATCTTAGTCTTACCTAAATATTTATAGACGGACAAACTTTTTTAGTGTCTGAAACTGGCCGTGCTTTAAAGCGCACAGATGCATCAAAAGTGAACCGACCTGCAGGACGAGGCTGCACGAGGTTGTCGAGGTAAATCGCTTCACATTCTGTAGATTTTAGGTCAGACGCGTCGTCCGGCCTTTGTTTTCACCGTGGAGCCGCCGGCGAAGCGCGTCCGGGGCCTCGGTGTGCAGCGCGTCCAAGCGGCCTCCTGAGGTGCTTTCAGGAAGAGGTGCTGGAGGTGCATCCGGGGAAAATGCACCGGAGGAGGAGGGAATGCATTCCTGTTCCCGTGGTTCCTGTTGATCCATGAAATGTCTCTGGCGACTCCTCGTATTTACTAATGTATCCCCCGCAGTACTCCTCTCTCCGCTGTTTAGGGGCATGTTATAAATAATACCGCCTGTCGACAGGGAGGAATGCACCAAGCGTGTAGAAGCAGAGGGAGTTTGTGCACGCGTGGTCATCTCTCCCTCACGCTCGCTGTTTGTCTGCAGCGGCAGCTCGCCATTAAAACGATTGCGTGCGTCAACTCGTTTAGTTGTTCTTTAAAATCTGCTGTTAAGATAATAATTCTATTATTAAGATAATTGAAATCCTTCCTCTTACGGCGGGGCTTAAATTCATTAAATAATGAATAGCCTTTGAACGTAATCATATCCTGATTAAATCATACATTGAGGTAAGATACGTCGTCACATGTCATGTGTTTCACACTGCAGCATTAAGTCCGACTAAGATCCACCCTGTCGATCAGTCAACATGACTTCAACATGACTGCATTGTGGGTAAATAATTGAGACCATGTGTCCATCAATTCAAGTCATGCAACTGGTAAATTACCATAAATAGAAAATATCCTAAATTATTATATTTCCAAAACAATGTTAACTGAAATATCCTGATATAAAGGATCCTTATTATGAATGTCTTCTGATATAAACTTATCCACAATTATGCCCAAACAATACCAGTAAAACTAAAACTAAAATGTAATTAAGATCAAATTATTTTCCTTTAAATACCAGAAGCATTACAAGTGTGAGAGGAATGCATTTGCTGTCAGCTACAGTTGCAATCAAAATTATTCAACCCCCCATTGCACATTAGGTTTATTGGCAAAATATACAATTGCAGCAGGTCATAACAGCAAAAGGGTGCTCTACTAAGTACTGAAGACGCTTGTCATGAAGGCGTTGAAGAATTTTGAGACTGCAGTAAATTCATTAAAGTCATTAAAAGTAGCATTTTGTGTTGAATTTGGATAAAACCTTTGTAATATTAGTTTAATTAAACTACTTAGACAATTCTTGTGTAATTTGTTGTTTGTAAAACAGCTGTGATAATAATAATAAACCTAATGTGCAATGGGGGGTTGAATCATTTTGATTGCAACTGTATAAGAGCCTCATGTCATCTAATCCGTCTTTAAAAAGCATGTGTTCATGTCACGTGACCCAATCGGGCCGCCAGCCAGCGGCGTTTGTTATAAAAAGCCTCATCGGCCGTTCTCACGGAGTTCATGTTAAGTCAGAATTACGCGTCGAGCAGCCGTAAAGTTGCAAGAACTTCCAGCATTAGAGTGTGCAAATGTATTTGTATTAAATATGAAATGAGACGTTAGAGGATGAAAGAAAAAGTTTGAAAAATGTATTAAATGTACATTTTGATTAATAATTCAAGCTCTATTTGTAAATAAATGATGGAGCCATATTTAACTGCATGCATTAGTGTGGGGTTTGGGGGGGGGGGCACCTGAGGGACAGAAATGGGATATTTTGCAGTAATTCCTGTCTTATTTATTTTGAAGTGCAGTAGTTAGATGTTTTGTATGTTTTTTTTTCGGTTCACCTGATTCTAAGTCATTGGCCAACTCTCCTTGCTCCACTACTGCCAATTTGGGACAGAGGCACAGCCTCCTCCAAAAGAATTATCAGCCGTCACCTCCAGCTGCTGCAGCACAGGTGCTTCCAGGTGCAGAGTGCAGGAGTTCGGGCGTGCACCTGGATGTTAGTCTCCGTCCCTCTGGCATTCTGGTTGAGGAGACAAAAGGCAGGCAGCTTATCCGTTGTTCTGGCCGGGCACCTAAGATTCTTCTTTCTCAATTCTCCCCAGACACACCATCCTGAGAAGCCACTTTTTCCTACCACAGGAAGCCCAAGAGAACACTATAGGTAGCAGTCTGACAGGCAAACTGAACCCTGGCCTTTTATATCCTGCCAGGTTTGAGAAGTTGGACATCACCCCTAAAAGCGCCCAGAAGATTAAGCCCGTTCTGGAGCGCTGGATGGCCGAGGCTGAGGCCCGCCACCGATCCGGCATGCAGAACCTGACTGAGTTTATCGGCAGCGAGCCTTCCAAAAAACGCAAGCGGAGGACCTCTTTCACCCCGCAGGCGCTGGAGATCCTCAACAGCCACTTTGAGAAGAACACGCACCCCTCCGGACAGGAAATGACGGAAATAGCCGAGAAGCTGAACTACGACAGGGAGGTGGTGCGCGTCTGGTTCTGCAACAAGAGGCAAGCGTTGAAAAACACAATAAAGCGCTTGAAACAGCCCGACCTCGGCCCGGCCGCGCCGATGGACCCGCTCACCGATTCTCTAGAGGAGCTGCCGAAATAAACGTGCTGAAAAGCGGCGGCGGCGGCGCGGCGAAGAGGCCGCCATCGGGGGGAAACAACCGAGGGCCGATGAACTGAGGGGAAAAAAAGCCCGTTTCCAAGTCACCTGGATGGACAGTCTTGAGTTTGCAAACAAAAACTATGTGTTGTCAGTGTGGTTACCACCGCTATGTAAATGACCTCGGCGAAACCAAAAAACATGAAAAAAAAGAGATTAATATCTGAGAATTGTGTAAAAACATACGGTGTGCTGTTTCAAAGAGTTTTAGATCGCCCACATTTTGGTTCCCGCGAGGAGGGATTTAGTAAAGAGATCATACCAAATCAAAACACTATTTACCAAAGTCTGTTGCATCTGAGTACTAAGAATAATTTTGTAATGTAAATGTGCTCTAAATTTTTACATTTGTACTGGCAAATCTAAGCTATATGTGTGAGGTTGAGTATACATTTTATCTTTGTCTCGCTTACTTTTTTCTTCATTTGTATGTAAATATCTTAAAAGAAAAAAAAATTGAAAAGTGCTGTCTTGATATCACACTGATGACGTTTCTCTTTTGGACAAAAAAAAAAAAAAAAACGTTTGCATCTGCAAATATGTTCAGCCACAGTGTAACTTTGTACAACTTTTACAGGTATTTATTAATAATCCGGTGAGACGTTTCAGAGTAAACTGAAGGTGATGATGATGAGTTTCAGTGTCCGTCACGTCTCCTGCAGCTTTGTTTGAGCTACTGCGTCTTTCTGTTGCCAAAGCCTGATAGCCAAAGAACACATTCCTTTTTTATTTTACTTTACTTTACAGCTTTACACACCGTTTTTTACTCTGTGGGTCAAAAACGAAATGAAACACAACCACGTCAAAGAGCCACAGCAGCGTCTGCTGAAATATCCACCGCAGCAATATGGGAAATGTGTTGCGTGACTTTTCTTTTAAGCGGATTTACTTTTGCATGCCTCAACTCAAAAGCACATGCAGAAGGAATATTTTCATCAACTTCATCCCCAAATGAACTCAAAAGTAACATTATTTCACATTATTTCTTTCCTGAAGACGCCTGCGACCAAACTACTGAGCCCATTCAGGTTCACATGTCTTTATAACCTGAACATTTCAACACAAATATGCTTCTTCTGCCAAGATAATGTTTCCTCTTACATTCTGCATTCATCTCAATGGGTGTAAAATTGAATTTACCTATTTATTTACTTATTTCTGTTACAGTAAATTGCTTTAAAAGGTACATTTTTACTGATTTCATGTATCTGTGGTTATCTGTCAGGTAGAAGGTGACTCTCCATCACTGTGTACTGAGCTGTTTGTTTTACCTTCTGAGGATACGTCGACATTCCAAGCAAGAACGTCCCTTCAAATATCTGAATCCCACAGAAAGCCTCACAGGAAAAGAAAAAAAAAGTGAATGTTGAGAATAAGTGTCACGTGTCAAAACGAGTGAACCTAATTTGAAGTGAGGCAAAATTTGATGCAATTTATTCAGAATCATGTGTCTGCTCGATATCTGTCGTCCCGTGTCACATTGGTAATCTCAGCCCTTCAGTCCCCGGCGCTCCGTTCTTCTTCACTGCCTCACGCACACACACGAGAAAAACACATGAAGACGCTTTGCATCTGCAAGTCAAGTCATGTGATCCCATTTCCTTTAATGCACAGATTTTTATTTTATTTATTGGATCTCATTTCTTATTCGTTCAGTTTTAATTGCATTTTCCACCCTCACGTTGGTTCCAATACTTCATCCAGGCAAATCTTTGGCCAAAACACCTGCATTCACCCACCGGACAAACGTTTGATGAAGCAGCAGGTAGAAAACGGATCCGTCCTGAGGCTTACCGATAAAGCTGTAACCAAAACCACAGAAAGGAGTTGCGCCTTTGCTCGACTCTTCAACGCTGGACCAAAGCTCTATAGTTATGCACATTGTACAGAGAAATAGATTCATGATGTTGACAATCTTTAAGACCTGAGATAAAATAATTGAACGTAGAAATGTACAGTAGTTCATCCAAGGTTTACCTCAGCACTGTTCTGCCAACGCCACACATGATTGTTCTAGTTTGGTGAGGTGGTTTCCTGAGCCTTTTGTTTTTATTACGGTTGCATTTTGATCCTCATTCATTGTGACGTTCACCTCTCAGTTCTCACTCACCTGTAGACCCGCGTAGAAGAAAAGGAGGCGACCGCGATGTTGCGCTCGGCCCAGTTAGGATGACTTGTTAATAATCACCTTTGAATGCTTTTGTGAAATTGTACTAACACAAAACAAAGTGGTTTGATTTGGATTTTTTTTTTTGTTAATAAATCAAAGAACTCGAAACCAAAGCTGAAGAGCCTGCAGAAGTTGGTTGTCTTTGTTGTTTTTTTTATGGACTGAAAGCTGTGCTTAATCGTTAGAGCAATATCTGTTTGGTCAGTCGAGCAGCGCTTTGTGTATTTCCCAACAAAAAAAAGAAGAAGAAAAAACAAAGATCTTCGTCTGTCACATTGATTTGTACCATAATTAGTAATAAACAATTGTTTAACATGAATTGTGTGCCCTGTTTTCAGTAGGTAGGTTGTTTTTAATTTGATGGAAACGGGGGTCAGTTCATGTTCGGTTTGATGGCTTTTAAATTATATAATTTCTATGAAACCTCGACGCGTAGAACGATGTCAGAGAGACGAGCCATTAGCATAGGGAGGCTAGCCGCTGCTAGCATTAGCCGGAGATAGAAAGACATTTATGTATAATAACCAATATCTTTTTATTGATTATTATTCCACATGAGCTTGATTCCGTTATAAAGAACAAACAGCTGAACAGGTTTATCAGCGTAGCAGTTTACTACCTTTATGTTCATAGATATAGAAGTATATGTATATATGTAATATATTTATTGACAGACAGACAAACCGGTGCAGCTTTCTGCTGAGCTCAAACGTTTCAGTAACACACAAACATCACTGACTCCTCTTTTCATCTCCTCCACTCTTCACACAAACAGCGTGATTGGAAAACGTGGAGCGGAATCCCGCCTGCTGACCTCTTGCGTCAGGGGTCACGCTTCCAGAGCGCCTTAAATCACGCGCACAAACACTCGCGGGGAAGAAGTGGTTTGACGTCCGACCCGTCGTCCTGTGGAGCGACTCCTTCGACGCCTGGCAGACAACGTTTAGCCGCGCATTAAGATTTTCCTTCGGGGTCAGCGGAGAAGAATAGGCCGCGTGTCGGAGTCGCTCCTCGTCAAAGCGTCGTGCGTTCGCCTCGCCGAGGAAAAATAACAAGCAGACGAGTATAAATAAACGAGGTAGAAAAGCCCTTTTTCAAACTAAACTCAAAAGTTTGCTGCGGCTTCTCGGTCCACGGCGCCTTTGAAAGAAGGAAAAAAAAACGGGCAGGCGGCTGAGAAGAAAGTAGTAAATAAATAAATAATAATAATAAAAAGCACAGACAACATAAATTATTAACATTAGACTGAAAACTGATGTTGAAGATGCTTTTTTGTCTTCCTTTCAGCCCCCCCCCCCCCTCGTTCCTTGAGGCTGGATGTGCCCGTGAGTGGTGATGGCTGAGGTGTGCAGCTCCACTCACTTATTTCATCTCGTTCCTCTTGTTTTCCCACTTGTATCGTCTCGACCACGAACGCTGTGATTGTGCAGACGCAGCTCCCGAACCCATATTTGCTTTCTCAAACGGTTTGTGTTGATGATGCTGATGAAAGTTTACTTTCTCTCCTCCCCCGGCAGCAGATCACTTCAAAAGAATCCCAGCCGAACTGTTGAGAAGATGTCGAGGCTTCGGATCCATCGCGTTGGGATGCGAGAAAAAAAGTTTCCCTCGCTTTTACGGTATCTGAGATTTAACAACTTAATTCAAAAGCAAATGCATCCTCATCACGATTAAAACTCCCTCGCGTGGAGATCACAGAGCAGCAGACTGATGTTAAAATGGGCTGTGTGGTGTTCAAGGTCACCCTGCCAGCAGAGGACAGCTTGGACCTCTGAATCTGGTGATTTAGTTGTTTTCTCAACCTAAAGGAACAGCTGAGGTGTCTTTTTCCTCACGTCTCTCCTCACACACACACACACACACACACACACACACACACACACACACACACACACACATATATATATATATTTGTATAGTAGCTACAGTGAGCGGAGGAGACGGAGGCCGGACAGAAAGACGATGACATGTCGGCGCTCCAAATGGATTATGTTTCAATATCAGTGCGCGCACAGCGGCGGGGGGGGGGGGCACGCGGCGCACGTGTTGGATACAGATGGTTTTAAATTGCCGCCTTTGTTTTCCATCAGGCGTGAAGCATTCACTTCCCTTATCTGTGAGGCGCGGCGGGCTGATGTTCGGGGCAAATGAACTGTCGGCGCGTCCCGCCGCTCCTCCGCCTTCTTCTTTTTTTGTCCCCCCCCCCCCCCCCCCCTCAAGGTTGAGATGCCGGTGGACCGAATGTGAGGCCCGAGCTGCTCAGGCGTCTCCCACTTTGCGGCTCTGCACCCCCCCCCCCCAGAGGCCTTTGAGGGGGAAATTACCGATCCTCACATGCGGCCGGGTTCGGCCATGCATATGATGCCTTTTGCTTTCGCTGATGTTCTGTGTTTATGGTGTTTTGGGGGGGGGGGGGGTCGTTATTAGCGATGACACCCCGTGAGGTATTTGCAGGTGGGGGAGGTAATAGCGCGGGTCTCTGCAGAGACACCTGTCTGACTTGCATCGCCTCATAGTCCATTTAACTTTCCAGCAGCTCGCTCTTTGAATGCATGTCTTTAGTGCCTTAAACTCTGCTTACTGTTTGTGTGCCGGATCCTTACGGCTGCCTCCCACCCCCCCCACAGCCCACAGCCCCCCTCCAGGGTGGAAAACATCGTTCTGAGTTACTTTATTACAGGCACAGTTGGGTCAGATTCAGATCCCCATTTAGCCGAGTGGACTTTTGTGTGTAAAAAGCTACTTAATCTAAAACATCAAATATAAAAACATCACAGCACCTTTTGCCAGGAAAATGGCCGATTCCGAGTTAAAGGCGGGAGCTGGAAATTGTTTCCCCTCCTCTCGTCAGGTGGTCGCAGTCGAGGGCGGTTTGTAAGCGGCGTGCGGGGGAAAAAAACCCTTCGGCAGGAGTGAAACTCTCCCGCTCACGGGTCGCCGCGGCTTTGAGAGTCGGAGGAAAATAGCCGGGCCTCCATCATCCTCTCATCCCTCTGACCTCCGTACGCACGGCCTGGTGTACTTACAGCATGGGGGGGGGGAGGGTTGCATATCTGAAGGCCTGGAGCGAGCGGCTGTGGATGGGAGAGGAGGGAGAGGAGGGAGGCAGTCTGTGCGGACACTCCGGGCCCTTCTTACGGGGGCCGTGATGAAACCCCTCTTGTATCCGTGGAAAATGGCCGAGGGGGGGAAATCACAGATGGGAATCACTCAAACACACGGAGATGTCAACAGGCACATAATGATAGCTGATGGCCCCAGAACACTCTCCCCTTTTCCCTCTCGGCCTCACCCGACCAGCTTGCACCCCACTAGAAAAGGTAATTAGAGGTAAAACGCAGAGACGGAAGCTTTATCTCTGTGTTTTCTGTAAGCAATGCTCTTTGTTTTTATACATCAGGGAGTCCTTTTTTCCCTCCTTGTCAATCTCTCTCACTTCAGGGTGAGGAGGAGGAGGAGGAGGAGGAGGAGGAGGAGGAGGAGAGCTCCCTCTGTGAGATGCCAAGGTGCTCCCGGTCCATTGTGCTGCTGGCTGTCACGTTAAATTAGGGACTACAGGCTCCGTGAGTGTAAAAAAATCAATACTTGATGGAAGATTGCTCCCCGGAAAATCTGTTTTGATTCCAGGATTAATTCTTGACCAAAGGCTGCGGCAAAATGACATGCCATTAGGCGGAAAATGAACACATTCTGCAGTGGAAATTGGATGGAAATGTGTCAGGTGATTGCCCCGGTTTCGTTGTTTTGACTCTTTGAGCGAATGGGGGGGGGGGGTGCTAGAGGTGTGGCTGCAGAGAATGTGGCCTCCATTTACAGAGCAGGAGACAACTCCGCCGGGGCCATCGGGGGGATTCTTGCTGGCTGCAAATGTCTTCCACCGAGCTAAAAGGCACCTGTCCACGGCCTCCTGTGTTTTCCACAAAGCATAAAGAATGAGAAGAATCTGAAAATAAAACATCTCTCTGCTCAAGAGTGAGAAGAAAAAGGGGAGGCGAGATACATTATTGATGAGGGAATAATGTGTTTGTCATGACGGATCACATTTTTTGGTTCGAAAATGTACACAGGAGGCTGCAAAGATGCACCGGACAGTGATTTGAACAACACGTGTATATATGTTAGATTCATTTATTTATCGGTAAGGTTCAGTCACATGGTTTGCTAAAGCACAGAACCGTCAGTCCACATGCATTATTTTATTTATTAACAGGTAAAATACATGCAAACCAAGCCTTGAAGAGCAACAGTCTATATAAAATTTCAATATGTAATAGGTGCAAAATTATCAACTTAATGAAATAATATAAACAGCCTTTTGACAAGCTCTGACTCATTGTGGTTCTTTTAGATTATTATTTTTAGCCCAAATACTATTGATCAAAAACATGGGCAATAGCATGATAGCTGATACACGGTTTCACTGTTTTCAACAGCAGTGCTACATTTTCCACCTCGTTTAAACTTTTCTTGACTTTGTAACTTCAGCAATTTTGGTATGGAAAACAATTAGAGCCTAAAATCAAAATAATATGTTTTTTATTGCAATCACTTTTTGTGTCTTGATTTGATTAAAAAAAAACATGTAGTATTTAGTACAAAAAGTGACAATTTCTTTAGGATGATAAAAGGACATAATCAGGAAATTTAAACTTAAAATGTAATAATATATGTTAAATGGTTTACTGGTTAGACCGTCATAATGTGTTTATTGGGGATGTTTGATGTTTTTAAGTTCGGTTGGTTTTCTGTGCAGACCAGTTTTACGTCAAGGCACTAGCGCCACCTGCAGGATTAAAATATACTATTATGTGAAACGTACTATCGATAGATGTCAGTGTGCACGACGCTTTCACCATAGAAGAAGAGTATGTAACGGGAATACTACACCCTGAAATGAAATATATTTGAAAGCCCGAGTGCACAAATTAGTAAAATAGGTTTCATTCATTTGTTTTTTACAATGTGATATGTTAACATTATAAATTCTGTTAATCAGTGTATTTTATATTTCTTATGCAGTAAAGACAGATATTAACTTTTAACATTATATTATTGAGTGCAACCAAATTCCGTTTTGAGTTGGATTTTCCCTTTCAGGCGCAGGATGATGACGTACCACAACCAGAAGTCGCTGCTAAGGCAACACAGCAGCCTGTTTCCTCTCACTGTAGTCCAGAGGCGTGCGATGTATTAACGGCCTTTTCTAGTCACAGCTTTCACGCGAACCTCACGATGTCTTGGATTAAAGCCGTTTCCCACAGCGAAGATGTTTTTGACGAATACGCGGACGACCTCAGTTTACAAAGCAAAGAGTGGACTTCCAACATGAAGAAGAGAGTCAGGGTAACGCTAACGTCGCGATGACTAACCTGAAAATTGCCTCTTATCCTCGGCGTGTGTACTGTTGTGGTACCTTTTAGTTTGCTGTTGATATTCCTGTTGTTCGCCGCTGTAGCGGAGGCGCAAAGCGCTTATTAACGTGACACCGGTGTCGCGGACAGGACGGTTACGTCGACGGAGTCGATGCCGGAGAGGACGCCTCGCTCCAGGCCGGTTTCGACCTGGGGTTCAGGGAAGGAGCAGCCCGCACTGTGGCCCTGGGACGGCTCAAAGGCATCGTGAGGTAAACAATCACTCATCTAATTACAGATACAAGTTGGGTTCGAGCCCCCCACCCCTTTCCCCCCTCCTGCCTCTCAATTTCTACTCATTCTTTTAAAAAGGCATGTTTAAAACAGAAACATCACGAGCCTCGCTCTGTTTGTGGTCATCGCTGAGAACTCTTTTGTGCATCCAGCTGGTTTCGGTCCCAGTCGCTTCTCTGTGCCTTTTGTATGAGTGAATCCACACGGTTGCCTCTTTGTGTGTCTCACGTCACAGCGCCATATACTGCTGGTGCCAGATTCAACATCCGGAAAGCCCGCCACCGGCCTCCGTGACCGACCTGCTGCAGCGGGTGTCCCAGCATGAAGACGAAGTCATGGACGACATCCGGAGGGCTTTGGAGAATCCTCCCCCCAGTGTGAGCTCCGTTTCCGACAGCATTGAGGATCTGAAGGTGGAGCAGGCGGATGCCGGAGGATGTGGAAAAGAAGGATGTAAAGAAATGGACTGCTGCAAGAAGGGAGAAAAGAAGGACCCGGACCTGCCTCGTTCCGCGTCCTCTGACGTCCCCTCCAGCTCAGGTGAAGGCCTGAACAGCCTCCGGCTGCGCTGCTTGGATCTCGTGTCAGAGCTGGAACTGCCACAGGAGCTGATCGCTCACATACAGGAGCTGAAGGACGTGTAGCGATCGAAGATCAGAATCGCAGCGGACAATACTCGGATGAGCTCATGCTCTGTGAAACACGACGGGTTTTTAGGGTGAATTCTTTATCGCACAGTGCTTTTGATGTATATAATGTAAGATGGACCATTAGCTTTCACAATTTGTTTAACATGGAAGAAGATTTTGTGAAAATAAAAATGGACTTGCTATCATCTACTGCATTTCTGTTCTTACATGTGCTATCCTTTAAATTCATATTTCAAACATATAGCTTGTAAATAATTCATATTATCGGAATAGCAAAATGTAACAAGCAAACCCGCTGATGGGGTTAAGGGGAATACTTCAGGATATTCTCTTTGTGGGACCATGAGTTTCTGAAGAAAACGTCAGCATCAACACCGTGCCCTCACAAAAAGTAGACAATTTTAAACCAGTGTGTGTCATGCCACATTATTCTGTGCATTCCAATAATTATACTACCACATTATTAGTTGTCTACAAAAAAAATGAGCACGGCTAAAATGTGAAGAAGAAATATATTGTAATTGATTGTGCACTCTGTCCAACTGTTCATACTATGTATACATATTTTCTTTTTATAAACATATTGTATGTGATTAGGACATTTTAAACTGCAGAATGTTGTATGATAAATTCTTCGTCACAGAACGTTTTTCCCCAACAGGGCAATCCCATAACTGTCTCAGTGTTAATAATTTCCATTTTCATCAACAACAGCACAACACCAGGGTTAACGCTGAGCTTTACGAGTTTCCGGAGGGCACCTGAACGCAGCAAAGCCGTTTGGCGCACACGAGTATGACGTCACGTGCTCGGACCGAGCCGTGACCTGCTGCTCCGGCTATGCTAAGGGTCCCCGCCGACAGATGTTCCGCACAAACCGCAGCGAATGCCCGTCGTTTGTGAAATGTAACGCGCTGAACGACAACTGGTTAGCGGCCGTAGAAGGTAACCGGCAGCGGTTCCGACGCGTGGGGATCGGTATTTAGCGGTGCGTTTTTTAAAAACATATATTAAGTTTACCTACCTCGGCTAGCTGGCTAGCTAACTTAAGCTTGTTTCTTTTTCAGCCAACGTTTATCGAAAGTGGGAAAGCAACCGAAGCTCCGTGGTTTGCAACTGACGGACTTTGTCACTAAATCAACCCGGTCGAGGTGTGTTTGTTTTTGTCATTTATTTGACGTGCTGTCACTGTGGTTACTTCCGTGTATTGTGTTGACAATAACAATGGGGGTGTAGCTGTGAATCCAGGTAATTTACCTCTAAGTGTATTATTTTAAATCGTAGCAGGTGTTGTATCAAAGTCAGCCACTCCAACATTAGATTGTCCATTAGGTTTCATATTATTTCTGTGACCACCGAATATTTAGATACAGAACGAGTAACCACTGCTATAACCGCAGCCCGAGTGACGTCATCATGGACCCCTGACGTCTTCGGGGCTCCAGCGGCTCCCCCCCGCCGGGTCGCTCGTGGGTCGTCGGTCACTTTGTTCACGCTACAACTTGGCCGACCTCCCGAGAAGAGGGAGCAAGCAGATGGGGAACATCTGCTGTCCCCCTGCGAGTCCCTGTGGCAGCGCGGAGGAAAGAAGCGGTTTGCTGAAGGACGACGTCTCCAAGGCCGCGGGTCCCACGTGTGAAGCCGTTGTTGTGTTGGGCACCTGTTGCCATGGAGCGGATGATGACATCAGGTGAGGTAAACATTGCTGGAACAGTCAATGTTTTGTTTTTTCCCTGGTTAGGATCATCCAGCCTAATTATTATAAATATTGTACAATATTCCTGCGTCTCTCACTACGTGATCTGCAAACTTCAGGGGGAAATGAATATAATGTTGTACTCTATTCAGCAGCAGATAACTGCCTTTAAGGTATTTCCATGGTCCCACAGATGTAGAGTTTGCCTGTAGTAAGCTGGAGATGCAATTTTGCACAAAATCAGCACAAACAAATCATTTGAGAATTGGCTACTAACCTGAATCGCCAGATGGATTGGATAAACCAGCTGTCAATCAAGCCATTACCGAACCCAATCGGGGAAGAGCGGAAAAATGGGTTTCCTTTGCCCCTCCTCCGCCGAAGACACAATCTCCGGTCCTGATGTAACGGGTGCCGTTGCAGCATCAAAATTCTACGCTCTCTTGGTTCGCCCGATTGGTTGGTACAAAGATACCAGGGGAAAGATGACTTGATTACACGTTTTCCCCACCTCCTCCCTCCCTACATTAAAGACATCTTGTGCAAATGTCATCAGCGATCCCACATCCACCCTGATGTGACAGTGCTCATCCTCTGTGTCTTCTCATCTAGAAAACCGCCCGACGAGGCGGCTATAAAGGTGAAGGAGGCTGCGCAAGTGAAGCAGAGCCCTGAGATGGCAGAGGCGGAGCCCAATAACACTCCGGAGAACGGACCCTCGCAGACGGAGGTCATGCAAACGGAGGTCATGCAAACGGCAACGCCTTCTCCCTGCAAAGGGTCTGAGCTCAAAGAAAACGCCGCCGCGGTACGAGATGAAGACGCGAAGGACCGTCCTGCAGGAGCTGGTGGACACGCGGAACTCACGCAATGCGCTTTAGAGTCTCTGCAGGAAGAACGCGCCGCGGCCGATCCAGAGGTTGTCACACCGACAAATGCCAAAACAGAATTAGAAAATCCGGCCTTGGAGAACGACAAAATCCCTGGCAGGGGCTCGCCAACAGCAGAGGAAGTTTGCCCCGAAAACCTCGCCGAGACGAACGCGACGAGAGAGAACTTTCCAGTGGACGAGCCTCACAGCAATGATGATAACGAAGAAGAAGGATCCAAAGTCCTGATTGAAAACACTGTGGCCGAGCCTTCAGGGGAGTTCTCTCAAAACAACAAAGGGATCTCTGTGCCGAACCCTCGGCTCCCCGCAGCAGCTGGTCAGACAGCGTCCTCTTCGGTGGACAGTCGGGAGAAGGACAGAGCGTCCCCGATCCGGTGAGTCGCATGGCGAGACAATCCGCACAAGTGTGAGCCGTAGAGACGATACAGATGTTATTTTGCTTTGGTTTGCTACCACGTCCCATTTTAATCAATCTTTCATAATTATGTTCACTGCCATCATAAAAATCAATGAGCTATGTGATTAAGTCTCCTGATTTGTCAAGAACTAATTACACGGTTACAAAAACAGAAATTTCAAGATCACACAACTCGGATCTGTGGTGGTTGGTTTAAATATTTCTCTCCTGTCGTTCTGTGTCTAGTCCCGTGACCGAGGACTCAGAGGACCGCCCTTCTCCGCTGAGTCCTGAAGTCATAAAAAGCGACTGTGAGTCTTTTCCCGGATCAAAGCCCGCGGTGCTGAACCACAGCGGCGAGGAACGTGGCTCCGCCCACTGCGCCCCGGAGCCAGAGGCCGCAGCTCCAGCGGACGCCAGCGAGAGGTCAGCGGGTGCAGACTCAGTTGACAGTAAACGGCCTCCCTGTGACCAGCAGGCGGCGTCGAAGCCCCACAGCACGTTGCGTTAGCAAAAGCAGTGCGTTCAACGCGCCGCACGCCGCTTTCCTCGGTGACCGTGGACATCGTTATTTCACACCCCCACAGTCGTCAGAAAGAGCAATGATATTCTCACCAGGAGCTTCTTTACCACTGATTTCGCTCTTCACGCCTTCTCTTTTTTATTATTTATGTTTCATTTACATACCAACACTTTTCATAAAGACTTCAAGACCTGACTAGTATACTCAAATTTAGAGTTATATAATTAAAACAGGAAAAAAAACAAAGATGTATCGTCTCTCTCCCTCCAGCTCAAAGTCTGATCCAGATGCACAGCCAGATGTTGAGCGCACGCCAACAAGCTCAAAGGAGGTCACTTCCTCCACTGAGGAGGAGGAGGTGGGGAAAGGGCAGGAGAAAAAAGAAGATGGCCTCAAAGTGGAGGAGGAGGATGAGATTAAGGAGGAGGAAAGGACCGGAGGAGATGCTGACCTTCAGGAGGTGCCGGGAGGAGAGGAGCAGCGGACAGTGAGCACGTGCCCCGATGTGGAGACTCCCCTCAGGGAGGAGGAAGAGGAGGAGGAGGAGGATGTCTCTGATGAAGAAGGCACAGGGAACAGGTTTGTTGTGATCATTTTTATATTTGCTATAAAAATCAGATTTCGAAGACAAATAGTATTTTAGTTTATTGGTAGCTTAAATGATATGTGTGGACAGTTTTGGTAAATAAATTACACAAAAATACCCGAACCAACACTGTCTCTCTACACACTGACCTTTAATCAGCCTTTGTATAAATATAAGAACTGTATGCATTCATTATTGTACCTGCAGTGTTCAGTGTTTTATTTTTTCCCCTCTTTAGTGAAGAAGACCTTTACAGAGGAGCTGAGGAGCAGTCGGCTCCACAAAACAATGAACCAGAAACTACAGGTCAGCACGTCCAAATCGCACACCCACACTGAGCAAAATGAACGCTCCCACAAGATGGGAGACTCCTCAGAATATCTTTTGTTTCAATCTGTGATCCCACATGATTGTTCAACAGATGTGTGTTACACTGGGCCCAATAACGGGCCCCTATGAAATGTCTGGGCTTTTAAAATACCTTTTGTCAGGCTCCAGACTCCAGACTGTGGTATTGGCACACGCGGAATGGTGGTGATGTGATTTAATTGATGAGGGAAATGAGTCTCTTTTAGATTTCACGCTGCTCTATTTGTCACTGAAGTCCACTAATTCTCTTTGTTTTGTTCCTCATCTCCTCTTTCTCAGTTGAAAAGGTGGAGGACAGAGGCAGTGTGGGTCCGGTGGTGGAGACTCTGTGTTACAGCGAGAGAGAGTGGAAGGGAAACACCGCCAAAAGCGCTCTCATTAGGAAGGTGTGTGTGTGTTTCAGATGAGTTTTTTTGTGGTTCGTTTCATCTCGTGAATGGCTTAAAGGATTCACGATGTCCCGCTGTGCTGCTGCAGGGCTACAAAGAGATGTCCCAGAGGTTCGGCGGCGTGAGGAGAGTGAGGGGTGATAACTACTGCGCCCTCAGGGCCACCCTGTACCAGGTGCTCTCCCACAGCACCCGGATGCCCGCATGGCTGCAGGACCGGGGCGTGAACATGGTAAATACCAAGGACTCGCTCGGCTAGATGCTCTCAGCTGACTGTTGGGTGTGCCCCTTATTTACCGTCGCTATGCATTTGTCAACCGCTGCAATCTTTGACAGCGCGTAACTGTTATGCAGTATACTCTGATGAGGATGAAGGTAAAACGTATGCATGCTTCTAAAAATCCCCAAAAGACTAACTTGTCTTTATGTTTTATTGTCGGGCGCTTCAGCTCATCTGAAATCTCATCTTGGCTTTTTAAATGCAGCTGTGGAAGCAACTGGAGGCCCAGGAAGGACTCTTCAGCCAGTGGACATTTCCTGCAGAGTGCCTCCAGGGAGACGGGACGGGAGATGCCAGCCTGCAGCTAAAAGGCTACGTGGAGCTTCTCCGAAATAAGGTACTGGAGGCGGGACACGTGGCCACGGGGAGAAAGTATTTAAAAGACACACAGCGAGCACGCGGAGGTTATTGGATGTGATCGCTTCCATGTGTTGGAGGCAGTGTCAGACACACGGCCTTGTCATGCCCATAAGGGTTTGGAGGGATAACTGGACCCTCGGGGCCTCACGGAGACCATATTCCGCGTGTATAATGTATAGTACAGTCAGCGTGTGAGGAATTCCACTGTTTTAAATGTCAGATGTCTTTTGCTTTATGAGAGATAACTGTGTTCTGGTTGGTTGCACAACGACGTACATTCCTTACACTCGGACTATTGGAGGGTTTTTCTGGTCTGTCCTGCTTCCTCAAACATTCCTTTTAATGTGCACCGACGAGAATGGAAGAACCGAAGCCCTCCAGCAGTCCCACAATATTTGACAGTCTTCTTCCATCTGCTTCCAGTGGCGAGCCGTGGTGGACGGCCCCTCCGCCGCGGAGCGCCGGCAGCTCTGCGAGCGGCTGTTTCAGGGCGGGGAAGAGGAGCTGGGGCTGCTGGAGGCGCTCAAGCTGCTGATGCTGGGCCGAGCGGTGGAGCTGCACGGCTGCATGACGGGCGGCGGCGACGTGCCGCTCTTCTGCTGGCTGCTGTTCGCCCGCGACTCGTCCGGCTGCCCGCGCTCCTTCCTCTCCAACCACCTCAGCCACGTGGGCCTCGGCGCCGGTCTGGAGCAGGTAGGAGAAACCCAACGCTCCTTTTTTTTTTTCTCTTCAACTTTTCAACTTTCCTTTAATTGGCCAGACTTCACATAAACAGGCGTTTAAGCCTGTGGTTCACCTGAAGCTTTCTATGGTAAACAACTGTCCCTGGGATCGCGCTGGGAGGGTTTTCCCTTCCTTTTGAATCCAGCAACAACAACTGCGGGGAGATGTTGTGACATTTGGGCGTGTAAGTGTAATCGTAATGTGAGACCGTAGCTGTAAGACATGCAGGAGCTTGTGTTGTTCTTTTATTTCTCTCAGCAGGGTGGAGGATGAAGGAAGGAAAAGCTGTTGAGTGATTTAATTGTTATTTCCAGCTTTTAGATTGACCCTCTTGCAGAGGCTCTTCCCATAAAGAAACCCACACCCATAAACAACGTGTTTGAGCAGATGATTGAGCATTGTGCTTTTTTAATATCAGGCTCTTGTGTGACCGTGCTATTACCCCCCTCCCCTCCTCTCCGCCCTCCGCCTTTCTCGCAGGTGGAGATGTTCCTGCTCGGCTACGCCTTGCAGTGCACCATTCAAGTTTACAGGCTGTACAAGGCCGGCACGGAGGAGTTCGTCACGTACTACCCGGACGACCACAAGGACGACTGGCCGCCCGTGTGCCTCGTCACCGAGGACGACCGCCACTACAACGTGCCGGTTGCAGACGCCGCGGGAGAGACGCGCGAGCCGCACGGCGCCAGCTGATCGCCGCCATACAAACGCAAAAACACTCCTCAGGTCAAAGTGAATTCTTTCACGCCGTTTGAAGGGATGTTGGGACATTCGCTTTCTCGCTGAGGGTTCGATGAGAAGATCACCACCAGTCTGTGCGTTTAGCTTAGCACAGCTAGCCGGAAGGACTGTTTCCAGTCTTACTGGTGAGCTCGAGTTGGACTGGTTTTGAGCTTCTTATTTAACTCACGGCAAGAAATCAGAGAAGCAAAACTCCCAAAAATGTTTCTCTATTCCTTTAGAAAATATATGCTGATTTGAGACCCTGTACAAGATGCGCTTTACACGCCTTTGTACACACTGTACTGTATGCAGAGTTTTCTATGTGGGTACATGCTGTATGTGTGCATCGGACATCGCAGCGTGATCTCAGTTAAGTCCAAATGAACTAGCAGGGCCTCATTTTGACTGGAAAAAAAAAAAAAGATCCCTTCTGGGGAAACTTGTTTCACATTCTCTCTGTGAAGTTCTGATCAAAAACACGATGGAGCAGCAAACTGCGGCAAAATGATTAGATGTTGGTGTTTACACTGGGATTTGGGGAATTTATTTGTGTACTAATTTATGATTTTTTTTCATTTTGTGGAAAACAAATGTGTTATGAATCAAGTGAATTCGTCATTGACGGTTGGGTGATTTATCTGGTTTAACCGCCCCCCCCCGCCTGACCGGAGGGCGATTTATCACAGGCTCTGCGTCAGAGGTGTGATGTTTTTGTGTGAGTCAAACTAAATGTGTAACATGTTGCCTTTAACCAAGCCGCTCTGAAGGCAGAAACGTGCCAATCTTGCTGCAAATACCGGCAACAGTTCCAGCCACTGGATTCAGTAGTGAACGCTCGCTTGGTCCTCCATGTTGCCTTAGAAATAATGCACAATAAGAATGAATGTTGGCTATTGGCAACAATAGGCCAGATTCTCGCCCTAAACCCAAGGCGATAGAACATGGCTTGTGGCATTTGATGTTTTGGATAAAAATGGAAGTACAATTTTTGTAAAAAAAAAAAGAAGAAAGCCTATTTGATTTGTATCAGCTTGTATTAGTTTTATCAGAGCTATTAAGATGCAGTTGAACTGAAGTATGCTACAGAAAATAACACATCGGGTCTCCGGCTCTGTAAACAGTGGTTGAATACAGTGGATTTTACTAAGCTCTAAATCTGATGGTGTGGACTTTTCATTCATGCAGCTTTACCTTTTAGAGAGAAATCAGTCGGGAAGTTAAACTTGTTGGTTTAGCCTTTGAATCGTTAAGCACAGCGCACACGCTTCAGGGTCACAAACATACTTAACCCAACGTGCACGTCATTAAAAGTCATTATGTAAAAAGGGGGAGGAATTGGTTACTTTGACTTATGTTCACAGCAGTGAAGCCCCAGGAACCTCAATAAAAACACAAGCAGTAATAATAAAGGAATTTATTTGCCAAATAAGAATGCCTATACAGTATGTACAGTACGTACGACAGTCTGAACACTACCAGGAAAGTGCTTTCCCAAACAAAAGTAGATGGACTCCCAGACCGCATGGGAAGTGAACGATCATAACTGTATTCTGTAACACACGCGATGATGTAACACGGGATTCCCGACCCCTCGGGGCGACTCAATATACACGCTGCATTACTATACAAAACGATAATCTGTACACCGCTGTATGTAAAATACGATTGCACAACCCAACAAGTCCCACAACATCTCTATATTTAAACTCAAGCAAGGCCTTGCCGCATAATTTTTGATAAAGTAACATAAAATAATGACCTTTGCATTTAGGCAACTCCACTAGCACTCGACAGACGTTTCATTCGGGCCTCGTCGGAGGAAGAGTTCTCCTGTGTCGCTTTCCCCCGGTTCTCCAGTAAACACGTGAAAGTGATTAATACACCAGCAGATATGATGACGCGAAACTATGAGAACGGAGGAAAAGGTCGGAAGACGTCACGGTATTTACACGGATGAATGAACACTCGGAGGTGCATGGCTTTCTATACAGTGTGCGTTTCAACGGCGTGAAGAAGACGTCGTCCCTCTGACTCGGCTCGGCCTGTCGGGGGGCGGGGGGGGGGGGGACCTCTGAAAACAAACCATACCCGGGTTCCCCCCCTCCAGCGCTGTAACACTCAGCAGTCTCTTCTCCGGCAGGATCTCACATGGAGGCCGGCTTCACCTTCCCCATGCAGCGTTCACTGCTGCCCCTCCTCCTCCTCCTCCTCCTCTGCGAGCTCCTCGATGGCGTCCATCTGGGCCCTGGAGCACACCTCGCTCATCGGGGCGGCGTCCTCGCCCTCCACCACCAGCTCGTTGGACATCTCGTTGTTTTTCTGCGGGAGGAAAATTAAAACCACTAAATCCTTCCAAGTCACTGAGAAAAACAAGAGCAGCAGCACTGCAAGAAAGTGGCAGAGTCCACTGGAGCTGGTGAGCCTCATATGCTTCTCGTTAGCGGCGTTGACTAAAATACACCAATTAGCCTGTTTAGAAGAGTGGGCTGTGATTACAGAAGGCCCTGTTCTCAAAAGAGGTTAAGGTCTCCCGTAGAATCATGGTGGCACTAGATGTAATTTCAACAACCGTACTTAGTATGCCAGAAAAAGATTTATTCCATCCCAAAGGGTAGTGTGTCGAATTCTGTGCACAGAGCGTAATGATAAAAAGGCAGTTTTGCTGTAGAAAACAACTACAACCACTATCAGCTCTGGCGTCTGGCGTGAGCTCGGCCCAGGTGTTCTCACCTGTTGTCGGTAAACATAGCACGCCGCTATGGCAACCATTGTCGACTCTCCTATGAAGCCGGCCAGGAGGGATCCAACCCCGAGCGTGGCCCCGTGAACCCTGGAGCACAAAAGCAGTACAATGAGCACGTGGCGGTGAATCATCATCCCGTTGGATTGTTTTCAGGAAGTAAAAGGAATAAAATGACAAAAAAAAAAAAAAAAGACGTTGTACCAGAATAACACTCGACTGTGGAAAAAACCCAGTAAGCTTGAGTCACAGTGCCGGGCTTTGTGACCCTGACACTGTTCTCTGAAGTGTTGACTTACCCCATATAAGGCAGCACAACTAGACTGGTGATGAGGACAATGATGCGGAGAACAGAGCTGGGCGCCAGCACAAAGGTCTTTTTCAGGGTCATGAGCCATCCAGTCAAATGAGCCCGAGCGGTTACTGAAAACAGGCGCACACACACACAAAGTGGAACCATCACCCCACCGGTCCGAGCTACGCCCCCCTCCGACTACGGCCGCGGATGGAGAGGAAAATGCATGTAAACCATCGAGCGTCTTTACCTGGCACGGGGAAAAAGGAGAAGATTCGGAGCGGGATCACGCAGAGATCGGCGAAGGCGTAGTCCACTCCGATGACATCCACCAGGATCTTCTCCGAGAAGTTAGGAGTCCAAAACACCGCGAAGCAAAGCTGCAAACAACGTGAACAAAAAGCAGATTCATTTTTCACGTCGGCCCAGTTTATTAGCTGAAGGGGGATTAAAGGCGGGCGAGCAAACGCAACTTCTCTGCTATAACTGCGTTACAAGCACGTTAAGTGGTGTTAGTAGAATAAACCCGTCTGATGTGGAAATGATAAATGCCCTGGACACCAAATAAGGGTATTTTCCAGAATGCCATTCAAACCCAAAGCCAAATTCCCACTTCTGCAAAAACGCAACATAACGTTAAAACGTCTCACATTTTCCAGGAAGTCTTTGCTCATAAAGCTCATTTTAACGCATTATACACACTAGTCCTCCTAAACTACTCCAGCTGAGCTTTCCGCCGAAAACATGGCTTCTGTTCAGGCATCCGGTCGAGGAGGTGAGCCTTTCCAATTCCAAACAAAATGGAAAATTCCCCCATGAAACCATTGCTCATGTAAGCATTGCTCATGAAACCATTGCTCATGAAACCATTGCTCATGTAAGCATTGCTCATGAAACCATTGCTCATGAAACCATTGCTCATGAAACCATTGCTCATTCGTAGGGCGGCTGCAGACAGAGTCCTCAGAGGACGAAGTCAAACAATCCCTGTGTTTCCTCTGGTGTAGCGCAAGGATCTTAGCTTGGCCCACTTGTCTTCCCAATAAACTGATGACACAACGGCCCATTGCGAGATCTCAAAATGGATGAAAAAGAAAACACACCAAAGGGTGGGAGTAAAGAGGACACAAGATGAGACGCAAGTACACTAAAACAAAAATGTGATGTAAGATTTTGCACCATCTCACTCTACTTAAAGGAATCACACATCTAGTAGGAAATCATGAACTACGCGAGAAAACCCCCTGTGGCTCTGTGGTTGAAGATCCACTAAGCCAAAATATACAAATAGATTACATGTACGGCGGTTTCATTTGGCATCGCCTCACCATCCATCATTATTTTAACAAGATGGTGGCACGTAACCAATTAGTTTGACTCCGCTGAGGTTTCCTCCAAACAAGGTGAGACATCCGAGCGAGATGATTGGTCACGGGACATCGGCTCCCTCCGCAGATAAACGTCTCCTTCCGTTCACATTCTTTCGTCTCCCCTTCGGGTGTAATCAGAACAAGTCGCGGCACGCCGGCTGTCAGCTCGTGTGTTTTTTTTTGTTTTTTTTCCCCACCAACCACAGAACGTCGGCCGCCTACCTATCTGCCCCGCGTGGAGCTCAGTGTCCCTCGCGTACATGTTTACGGCTCTAGGATTCCACATCTGGTGTGTAACCTCCTCCGCCTCCGCCTCCTCCTTAAAAGACCCAACCTTGGCCACAGACTTCCTGTTTTTCTTATCCGGCCGTCAGTGCGACAAACTGGTGCAACAGCTTCTTTCTACTGGATAGACGCGTCCTTTGTCAGATGTAATCAGAGAGCCTGGATCATACAGAGTTCCTCGCCGATCTCCATAACATGATCATTCAGATGTTTTGCCGAACAACAGAGCAGTAAAGGAACAGAGCGTGACTGCAGCGCTCGTGACTTGGCAGAAAATGTACACCTGCGAGGAGCTTTTGGAATGTGTTGACTGACCTGTTTTTTACGCGAGCGCCTGTTTTTATTAAGCCCTTAAAGCTTGGGTGGGAGGGTTGAGGGACGACAAAAGCCCCCGTACCCTCTCCACCAAATTCCACTCTAATGTCTCCCGGCCTCTTGTAACTTGAAACCACGACATGACTGCGAAAGGAACAGCACATTCGCTACATCACTAAGAACGTTTGGGTAATTCAATTGAATGCGACGGCTTCGTTTTTTTTTGTTTTTTTGAAGCACTCCCAAACTATGCGACAGCAGTCGCGCTCAGAGATATTTAGCATCAATTTTTGTCAACATTCCCTTCGGCAAGCTTTGCAAAAATGTCAAACATGTGGAAGTGAACCCTGACCTACAGTCGGTATCTCCCAATCATTGGAAAGGGGTAAACAAGGCACGGGTGCTCTGTTGTGGGGAACGTTATGTCTGCTGGCGTTGGGTGTGAGGTTGTTGTAGGAACGCCGTGGGACAACTGACACCTGAGGTCAAGTCTCGATGAAGGACATCGCAGACTGTAAATAAATACACGGTGCAGGAATCCCTACTGTAACAAAATGAAGGCTGGAACTTCATGCTAGTGATCGACTGGACGAGGGTAGAAGAATAATATACAACCAAGAATAAAAACAAGTTCTCGCATCTGAATATGAAGCCGTATTCTGAGAGTGAATAGAAATAAAAGACTGATCCCGTTCTTACCGTGAGCGATAGAGCCAGACAGCAAGCTGTAAACTTTTTAATATGCGACTTGGTGACGGGGGTCCCAGCGTTCAGCTTGTTGCTGGGATTGTTCTGTGGGGGAAGAGAAGCACATTTTCTTAGAGGCGTGAACAACAAACTGAGGCGGGCGCTAAAAAACAAACAAACGGGCGGTCGGCGCGGGTTACCTTGTCGAAGGCGGGGTACACGGCCCTCAGTTCGGTCAACCAGCCGTAGGGCATGTGACCCACGGGGTACGTGGCCGTGAGGACGGCCACGGCCTGGAACGACAAAGACACGGCGGCTAAGAGTCACGCAGCGGGCCCGAGGACTCAACACGTGTGTGTGTGATCGGATAGCAGCCCGCGAGCGGCTCATCGTGTCCCAAACAACAACAACAACAACAACGGACAGCGGCAGGGTTCACGCAGGAAGCGCAGGGCGGGCGTAGGAATGTTTCCGCGCCACGTTATCGCGCCCCGAGTTGAGCTCCAGTCGGTTCTGGTGAACAGCGCTGCATTGTCTCCGGGACTCTGTGTGAGCCGGAAAGCTCCAGAGGCGGTTTGTTAGCGTCTGGCTTGTCAAAGAAGAAAAAAAAAAAAAAAAAAAAAGAGGCCGCTGCAAAGCCGCTCTTAATGACGTCGAACGGCATTGTATAATGACACGGGCATTACCGTAAAATAACGGCTCGCAGCCGTGTTGATAACATCCGGTTGTTAAAAAGAAAAACAAAGGGGTTCTTCTCAGTCGTGCTGTCGACGATGAGGAATACCGGCGATACGTAAATGTTGGTACACACACACACACACACACACCTCTGTGGCATCGGCGGTCCCTTTGAGGTCGCGGGACACAAAGAGGTTGACGATGGGTCGGCTGATCCGCTGAGTGGCCAGGATGAGGGCGAGGGGCCACCAGAAACTCAGCATCTTTTTGATAGTTGCGTCACCCTGCGGGGGTAGAGGGGGGGGGGGGGATCAAGACGGGACCCTGAAGAACCGCTCGCAGCTTTCCGATGGAGGCTAAAATCTACTGAAAACAACCAACGGGGGACGCAACTCACGCCCACGTCCAGTCCGCTGGAGTCCGGGATGTTGTCGTGGATGTTGCAGTAGTAGCCCAGGCCGACGATGGTGAAACGGACCAAGGCGCCCATGTACAGGGAGAGGATCGGGATGAGCAGGGGCTCCACGCACTCCAGGTTGCTGTGGAGGAGGATGGCCACGAACACGATCTGCGGGGGGGGAAACAACAGCGTGACCAAACACGGCATCCGATGTAGCCTCCCTCTTAAAAACAAACGGATCCCGTTACCTGGGCCACGACATCGGAGATGGAGGCGGAGCCTACTATGACGCTGTACTTGTGCTTGAGAAGTATCCCGGCATGAATCCAAGCCTTCAGAAAAAAAAAAAAGACACAACGATCACGGCTCGGGCGTGTTTGGAAAAAGGGACAACCTCAACTCCACCGTGCACTCACCATTGCGTCCAGCAAAGGGAACGCGGCCAGGTATAAGAAAGCCTTCCTCGTCTTCCCGCCCACAGAATCGTCCACATGGTGGAGCTTGTTGATGATGTAGTATCCTAAATCTGTGTAAGCTACAGCAGGAGGAAAAGAAGAAACCGTGGGCTCAGCGGAGGCCTGGCAGATCCCTTCCAACCGCCGTTTCTTTCACACACGCACCTATCAAGATGTGGAGGACGAACGCGATGACCCCGGCCGTCACCATGCACAGCACGGCCTTCCTCCGGTCCCTGCGGCTGTTGACGAACACCAGACCCACGTTCTTGAAGTCGCTCATGGGTCCGGTGAAGAACTTCATCAGGGAGTAGGCCAGGCCGTAGCTGGCCAGCATTTCGATGGCATCCTCTTTGACGGTGGCTATGCCCCGGTTGAGGGCCTGGAAACGAGAGAGAGAGAGAGAGAGAGAGAGAGATACACAACGCGGTCGGTGTGGGAGGTGGTGGCAAGTTAAGCGTGGGCCGGTGAACTTTGTCTGTGACCGGGCGGCACTCCACCACAGCCCTGCATTGTGACGGGCAAACCAGCGTGTCCTCTGCGGACACAATTAAAAGTGAGACCTTCGACTGAGGGGGCGAAGCAGCGGGTGTCACCGTGATATCTGGACGGGAAACACCCACGACACCTGATCCCCCTGATATATATATATATATATATATATATATATATATATATATATATTCCAATGCAGATCTGCCCTTTCCCTTTGCAGGACTGTGTGTGCTATTTATACCAGCTAACAGAGACATTACATAAGCGTAATCCTGACATCTCCCAGATAAAATGGCTCTGTTTTCTTTTTCTTTTTTTTTTCTGTACTCCCCACACTATCTGCTCAAGGTCTCCTGGGAGAGAGAGCAGACGTCAGGTCAGTGGTTTTGGCTGAGAAGGAACAGGAAATGACCAAGCAGGGGACAAAACAGTTAAAAAAAAAAAAAGGAAAAAAAAAATCAAATGCGGAGTGCGTTTGATTTGAGGACGCGATCCGCCATGATCTTCCCCGAACAGGCCTCGGATCTGATGAGCGATCGAACGTTAAAAGCAACGAGCGGCTGCGGTGACGCGCGCGAAACACACGGTCTTCGTTTAGCGACGGAAAGCCCGGACGCGGGCCTCCTCCTCGGCAATGTAAATAAAGAGCTGACGGGTGTCTTCACGCCGCCTCTCAGCCAGCCAGCTAAGCTAGCTGTAGCTAACCCCCAACCGTCTTCAACCGACGGGACGAGTGGGTGGAGATAATCAGCGTCCACGTCGGACAGACGGCGTTCTATCTGGAGATAACGCAAGAAAAAAAAGCAGCGGTTGACACATTGAAACCCAACGGAAAATAAATAAATATATATATATTTAAACATAGCCGCAAAGAGCAAACGGGAGTATGTTTATGTCATTGGGCGATAATAAATAACAAAAGAAAAAGGAAGACGTTACCTGTTCTCCGAGGTCGATGGCGATATTGGTGATCGCCAAAGGCACCAGAAAGCGGATGAGAGGCCAGTAGGGACTGAGAGATGGAAACTCCACCATAGTACAAGCCGGGAGGACAGAGCGAGGGGCATCGGCCTCGGTCTTGATCGATTAGACAGGAAAAAAAAAATCTGAAAAGATTATAACGGGCTGGTTCGGCGCTCCGAGCACCTGCGTTTCGATGCGGGGAAAAAATAAATAAACAACCGGGGGGGGGTTGGGGGCTGGTGGTGGTGCTGGTGGTGCTGGTGGGGGAGGAGGGTGAAGCTAAGGGAAGCGGCGGCGGGGGCCGAGCCGCTCCGGCGGCGCTTCAAGAGGCTTCGGTGCGGATGAGCGGAGGCGAAGGTCAGACAGGCGCATCTTCTTCCTCAAGAACCATCATCGACTGAGGAGGAGGAGGAGAAGAAGGAGGAGGAGGAGGGGGGGGGGGGTACCTAATCAACGCGGGGGGGCGTGCCGCCGCTTCTTCCGGTAGAGATTGGGATAATACCAAAAATAAAAAGGAGAAGCGTTAATCCGAGACGTACTTGGATTAGTTCCTGTCGCGGCGCGTCGGACTGCGCGTGTGCCGCTGCGCAGTCCGAGTTCGCTGTCGAACCTCCCCGCGGGGCGCGAGCGCACGGCGCTGCCCTCCATGTGGTGCCAGGCGCGCCGGCCGTGACGTCATCAGCGATTTATAGTACCGCGTGAAACACCCACACACGCACGCACGCACGCATGTATGTATGTATGTATGTATGTATGTACAGGAAGACGGGGATGAGTAATGTGTGATTACGTTGAAGCAGGCGCGCGCACAGGGTGTTGTTGTGACTCGGCATATGAAGGTGAATGCGCGTGCGTGTTTGGAGGAGCACGTGTGTGTACAAGTCCCGCATGTTGGGGGAAATAACGCCCCCCCGCGTGGACATCATAGCTACGAGATTTGTTTAAAAACATTGTCCCTTCTTTGAAGACAAACAAACAAATAAGCGCTGAGATGGTAGAAAGTCTCGTGACACGCTGACTCCTGCTGGACAAAGTCAGACTAATTCATTTATTTATTCATCCAAATGGGGGGAGACAAACATTCATTTTATTGGTGATAGGTGTGTGACTCCTTATATTTTCAAAACAGACATATTTTTATTATTATAATAACTAGTATGTACATTTTTGTTGATTTCTATTTGTCTGAAAACTGTTTTCTTACTATGTTGTTTGTCATGAACCCAAAATATCCAAGGCAAATTCCTTGTTTGGCCAAACTTAACTGGCGGTATACACGATGCCCCCCAAACTGAAATAATAGAATCAGAAACGTAATTGTTTTATATTGTGAAATATTTCCTGTTGTTTAAACATCTGTTTCAGCGTAAAAGTGAATTAGTTTTTTTTTTACGTTTAATGTCAGACATGAAATGCACATCTCTACATTGATGTCGCTCTACATTGTTTCCTTTCACACACACACACACTCACAGGAAACCACTATGGTCGGTTAGCCGTTAAGGTCAAGTGGAAACACGCTACCGTTGTAGGAGCTGTGAGTTATGTTCAGTCAGAAGTTGTTTGTGCGTCAGCTTGGTGCCTGAGGCAGATTCTGTGGACCTTTTTACGAGCAGACGTCCCTTTCCGTGACTAAAGTAAGATGATCAGGCCTCTGTACCTGCGAGTACACTTCGTGGTTGATCCTTAAAGCTGCAAAATGATTCCTTTATGTGTCAGTATTTCAGCGCGATAACAGAGGACTATAGTTTTAAGTCAATCATTGACTTTTACAAGCTGTTTTTTTTAGGTTTACTGCAGAATATATTCTGCACTCTGTACTCATTTTGTTGGGGCGGTTTTGGATAACGAAGCTCAAATGGTGCCCAAAGACACAAATTGAGTTAGTGTGTCTCTATGCATAACAGTTCTGTGTATTCAGTACAATGTTGCACAATGTTCTTGCAGCTGCAGTAGATGGTGACGACTGATGATCTCTGTGTTCATCTTTAACTACTTGGAAGATCTTTACAAGTTTCCCAGGATATAAAAACACTTCGAAACTTTGATTCTATTGTGTGTTTTTAAGGAGTGTACGAAAGCCTCCTTTACGAGTTTCTAGAGTAACAGATGTCCCTCACCCTTCATCTAAACAGGTTTTTTCTTTTAATGTTTACTACAATGAACAAGTTTGGGGATTTCTAAACAGGAAACTTAATCATTTCACGCTGAAACGTGGTAGAAGTTTTCCAAAACGTTGGACATTTACAAACGTTGACAATGCGGCTTTTGTTCATCAACATTTATAACCAGATAAATGGAATTATTTCATTCATGGGCAAAGATTCACATGAATCAAATTACATTAGAAGAAGATATATGAAATTAAATATATGAAATGAAATGGAATTATACAAATAGAATTATACAAATGGAATGGTCCAGAAATAAAGTGCATTCACAATTGATGCAGATAAAACGATAGTGGTGTCGTCATGAAACTAGTGCAAGTCACAGAAATGGGATTTATAATCAGTTGAATGTTTACAGGTGATACATGGCGCCCTCGAGCGGCCATTTAAGAGTCCAACAGCTCTTATCATATACCTGGATACACCTGATACACCTCTAAACGCCCTGCGTGCGCTCTGTCACTCATCCTCACAACCATCACTCATTGCTTTCAGTACTAGTTATTTGTCACAGTCCAAATAAATGGCCGTGCATGAGACAGCCAGTGTTTTGTCTCCGTAGGACTGCAAAGTCATTGTCTTCAGGAGTGGGAGGAGTCAAAGGACGCTGAGACGTTGGTAAACAGTCTGAAGGTTGTCTCTCACCTGCCTGCTGTTTCTCCTCACAGCTGATTTACGTTTTCCAGCATAAAAGATGCCGCGGCAGGGAACATTTTAGCATCACAACGCACGTTCGGAAGGACGGACCCCCTGACTATGATCGGTGCTCTTAACGTCCACTCGTCTTCATTGGTCTCTTTGTTAAGTTTGTCTGAAGGGATTTATTCTTTATCAGTTTGATCCATTCCAGCATTTTACGAATGTATTGTTTGTTTAAACGCCATCCAGCTACTTTCAAAGCCACCGTGATTAAGTGTGATGATTAAGCAGGTTGTTAAGATGAGTAAATATATCAGTGTTTGTATTTCCATATTCTGGTTGGGAATCAGACGAGTGCCCTTTGCTGCCTTTTTCTGTTCTTTTAAAGTTGATCAAGGTATCCATTTTTTAAAATAAAGAACCGTGTCATTTTATCACAATGAAGATGTTTACATAGTTGGTTTTACCTCAGTCAATAACCGCTGGTTGTCACTGTGAATAATTAATGACACAATTAGCTCTCGTTGTCAACCTCCTCCTCCGGGCTGATTGATTTACTCTCAATCTCCTGAATGAATGTGTCAGTCACGTGACCCGTGAGCGCCGTTACTCAACGACACACGAGGCCCTGAAGGGGAAACGGTTGGCGTTACGTGATGAATATGCTTTACACGAGAAGGAAGCTTTGTGCAAGTATGGATTTGTGGTCGTAAAATATGGGAAGTTCAGAGAGGAGTCAAAGGGAAGAGCGACAGCTGGTGGTCTGTGAAAACCTGATTCAACGGTTGTTTATCCAGCTTTGTGCGATGCAGAAGTGATCAAGAGGCTGGGTGTTGATCATGAATCCACTGAACATTTAAATGAATAATTAACATTTTGTTGTTTTTGACTCTTTGTTGTGCAAAGCTGTACTTGATGCATCATCTCAGTCTGTTAATGAACATATTCTGTGTATTTTATGAAAGCACCTGGGCTTTGGCTGTGAAGTGTGTTGTAGTTTCCTTGTGCTGAATTGTGCACTTTTTTGGTGCATTAGTTGTTTTACTCCTGGGTGGGTTTTCTCAAGCTGGGGGGGGTCTCTCAGTTTAGGGTTTCTGTTCCACTTCCTCTGATAACAAAAAAAATCTCTCTTCTTTCTGTTCATGTCATCTTGTCTCCTCCTTTCCTTCCATTTGCTGGCTCAATGATTTATTCATACAATGGCTCCAGAAGTGGACACTTAGGGGGCATCAGTGGACCGCACGTCCCACAGAGAGCTCGTGGACGCGCCGGGATGATGAAACCCCAAAGGCGTTTAAAAGGGAAATATTGTACATTTATTTCAAATTTCAAAGTGAATTACACAGAATCATCACTTATATGTAGATTACATAATTTAAGGCAATGACACAATCTAATTTTAGCACAAAAAAGTTTGATGGACAACTACACGTTGCTCATAAGGGTCAGCTTTATATGTTGTTGTGGTCTTTTTTTTTTAGGACAGACAAAATGCTTTAGTTATACACATGGAAAGTTAAAATAAAAACCAAAATGATCACTGTAAAAATGGTAGAACTTCATCACATATTGCCAATAAACCTTTTTTTTCAGATAAAAACGTTGATTATTTATATAGCACAGCCACAATGTCAAAACTCTGCTTTGCTATTTAATGGTTTTTTTTTTTTTCCAGAACACATTTTTTAATAAAGTGACCCAGTGACCCCATTAAAAGCCCCACTAACCCACAACACAGCACCAGTGTGTTACTGAGCCATTTAAAGAGTGACTCCCAACAATCTTCACTGAATCTACTTTCAATCAATAAATCCCCCCCTTCATAACTGCTAGTGGCCTCTACGATCACCTCCAGGGTTTGACCCTGCACCCAGCTGGCACCGGTCCACCGACAGAGCACCCTGACCGCCAGAGGGCGCTCCGAGCCCGTTCAATCCCCTGCTACCCATCACAGCAGGGGGTGGGGGGGGGGGGGCTGCTGCACCCATACTGAATCCTTTAATTGCTTCCCTCCTGCAGTAAATTGGGGCCAATCTGGACTACATTTACACAATAAGTATGTCTATTCGTTGCAGGTTTATATAAACATAACTGCAGTTATTGGCTGCGCCTCTCTTGCCGAAAGCACTTGTTCTCAGGGGCTGTCAGTGGCACGCGGACACGCCGAAGTAAACTTCACACACCTGCGTTGGTGTGTCGCTGCAAAGAAATGTGCAAAACTGGCGTGGTTTATTTTTTGTAGCCATTGGGTTATCCTTGAGGGGGGGGGGGGGGGTGGGGTGAAAGTTGTTGTTGTTGTTGCAAAAGCATGTTAATCACTTTTAGGCGGTAGATCTCACTTATTGAATGATTATGATAGGAGCAAAACGTGCAACAGATTTTATGAGATGTTTGACAATATCTTACACGGCACGGTGTTGCAATAAGTCGTCCTAATTATCATGTACTAGTACTTGCGTTAGTATTTTTTGCATTTCTCCCGTCAATGGAAGCTGTCCACTATGACCCCTCCCACTTCTCCCCAAAATAGACCCTAACGCGAAGTAAACGCTAAATAAACCCACGAAAACATCCGTTTTCACCTTAAATCAACCCGTACGTCGCAGTGGGGATTATTTCCGGCGGCAAATGCGAGATTAATTCTGTCTACGTGAATCGCTCGCGTTCGTGTTCGTTTCGCGGGAAAACGGGCGGAGGAATAAAACAGCGGAGGGGGGAGTGGTGCGGCTGGTTTTAGTGCAGCCGGCGCAGCTCTCAGCTGTGATTCTCACGCTGCTGATGACAGACTGTAGTTCGTCCTCACCGGGTCGCTGGTGCAGTCATTCAACTCTCCATGCATGCTTCACACAGCCTCGCGGAAACCGCCGTCAACGCCTCCGTGGAAGGATTTAATGTTACTTTCGAGTTGGAATAACTTTCCTACCCTTTTTTGCGCCTCTTGGGTTGATTTCGCCCGGTCTTCTTCCGCCGACAGTTTACGTACTAAAAGGTAAGGAAGGGGAGGGGAAGAGGAGGGAGGGGGTTATGTGTCTTGCACCGCACCTTACCACGTCAGTTTACCGAAAATAAAAAATAAATATTATTATCGTCAGTAGCATTAGCACTTTAATTTACTAAAATGTCCTAGTTGAGCACCTGCTGCTGCATCCTGCTGCGCGCATGCACGGCGTGCACACGAGCCGCGGTGTTTTGGAGTGACCATGTGACGTTGCTTACACCCTAATGTTGCATGACCGGTGCCAAGCAGCAGCTTTTAAACCTGCAGACACCCCCCACCCCCCCTCTCTGTTTGTTTTAGACTCAACGTCTAATCAACATTTTGTTTTTTCCTTTTTTCGAAACAGCTTCGCAATAAGGAAAAAAGACACCGGAGACAAAATGCCGCTGGATTCAAGTTTGGCGAGTAAAAACTACGACTACGACTACGACTCCTTTCAGCCGTTATTCTACGACAACGAGTTAGGAGGATTTCTACGCTCAGCAGCTTCAGCCTCCGGCGCCGAGCGAGGACATCTGGAAGAAATTTGAACTGCTGCCGCCGACCCCCCCGCTCTCCCCGAGCCGCCGGCCGTCCCTGTCGAGCCTCTTCCCCTCCACGGCGGACCAGCTGGAGATGGTGACCGAGTTCCTGGGCGACGACGCGGTCAGCCAGAGCATCATCTGCGACGCGGACTACTCGCAGACCTTCCTCAAGTCCATCATCATCCAGGACTGCATGTGGAGCGGCTTCTCCGCCGCGGCCAAGCTGGAGAAGGTGGTCTCCGAGCGGCTCGCCTCCCTGCACGCCGCGCGCAAGGAGTCTCCGGCGCGCGACTGCGCTGGCCCGGAAGTCGGCGGAGGCGCGGCGGCGGCGGCGGCCGCGTGGCGCTGAACAGCAGCTACCTGCAGGACTTGAACACGTCCCGCGGGCGGGAGTGCATCGACCCGTCCGTGGTGTTCCCCTACCCGATGGCGGAGACCGCCCAAGCAGGGGCGCCGGGACGCTCCCCCAGCAGGGACCTTGGGACTGGAGACGCCGCCTAACAGCAGCAGCAGTAGCAGCAGCAGCAGCTGTAGTGACTTAGGGAAGGTGAAAACTGGACCGACGCCCCCCCCCCCCCCCCTCTGCTGAGTGAGCCAACGTTGCTTCCACTATTTAGACCTGAAAGAGGCCGGCTCTCCAATTGACGTTTGAGATTCCCAGGCAGGAGTTTGACGTGTTATGTAGTAGACCGCTTTGAGATCCGCTCCAGGCTGAGATGTTAAGCAATAACTGATGTTGAAAGGGAGGTCCCCCCCCCCCCCCCCCTCCTCCTCCCCAGTTGCATTGAAAGGCATCACTGATGCTGAATCAGTGTTGATGTTTTTCGTTTTCTTTTCCTTCCTTGCAGAAGATGACGATGACGATGAAGAGGAGGAGGAGGACGATGATGATGACGACCAGGAGGACGAGGAGGAGATCGACGTGGTCACGGTAGAGAAGAGGCACGGGGTGAAGCGGTCCGACCCCACCAGCCCCGCGGAGACCAGGCACAGCCCGCTCGTGCTGAAGAGGTGCCACGTCTCCACCCACCAGCACAACTACGCCGCCCATCCCTCCATGAGGCAGGAGCAGCCGGCAGTCAAGAGGCTGAAGCTGGAGAGCAGCAGCAGCAGCAACAACAGCGGCGGCGGAGGAAGCGGCGCCCACAGAAGGGTCCTCAAACAGATCAGCAGCAACCGCAAGTGTTCGAGCCCGCGGACGTCTGACACGGAGGACTACGACAAGAGAAGGACTCATAACGTTCTGGAGCGTCAGAGGAGGAACGAGCTCAAGTTGAGCTTCTTCGCCCTGCGAGACGAGATCCCCGAGGTGGCGAACAACGAGAAGGCGGCCAAGGTGGTGATCCTGAAGAAGGCCACGGAGTGCATCTACAGCATGCAGACGGACGAACAGAGACTCCTCTCGCTCAAGGAACAGCTGAGGAGGAAGAGTGAGCTTTTAAGGCAGAGACTCGCACACCTGCACAGCTCTCGAGCTTGAAGTTTGACTCGGCGTAGACTTTTTGGCCTTTTTTTGTTTTGTTTTTTATGCAAGTTCAAGAATTTGGGGGTGTACAGTTGTTGTTGCATGGAAATGCAAAGCGGATTAAGTTGTTTGGAATCTTGTTTGATTTCCATGTTAAAACTGCCTCAATTGAAGTTATGGGTGGATTAAATATTTAAAAGTTTATTTTTATTAATAAAATATTAAAAATCGGCGCTGTTCAGGGCCCGAACTAAAATATACATTTTTACGTTTTGTATATAATTAATATTTCCTAAGAAAATGTATTTTTGGATCTCAATTGTCTGAATGTTCAGACTCTGTTTTGGTTTTTCCATTATGTTTCTAGACTTTTTGAAATATAAAAAAGTTTCTTCTTGAATCTGTGTCCTTGTTCTTGCACTACAAACACACACATGTTACAGTTCGTCACCGTGGATACATTAACATGTAATGGAGGTATACATGTTTGCATTGGCGCGGGTTCATCAGTGATTGCATGGTTTGAATAAAGTGACTTTGATAAGGTAATGCTGATCCTTGTCACTCTCCTCACTGACTTTTAAGGGTTTAGATTACAACCGCCAAGTGAAAATATCCTGTTAAGACCGTAAGCTCGCAACATTTAAAGTAGCAGTGCGTGACACATTTTACCCTAAACAAAAGCCTGTTACTGAAGATCCAATATTTCCAATCCTAAAATTGACAATTTACCAAACCGTCAACGCTGCTTTTTTAGTCAAGAGTTCAGGCTAGTTTTGCTTTCAATATGCATCTGAAACCCTTTAAAAATAAATCTGACGATGCACAAAGATCAGACTTCCTTCATCGTTCTGTGTGCACAAGTGCATCATCAGCTACTTCACATTCCTCATAACACTGTTGGGCTGTTATTGATCACGTTATCCTTTCACGTCACAGATCAGATTTCAAAATAGGGAATAAAGTGTAAACGGTGGTTTTACAGTTTCAAAGTGGTATATATTGCACGTGCCAACCATCTAAACATCCCAAATCAGTGTTTCTTTTGACAATTCACCAATATAAATAAAGATATGACTCAACTATAACAATTAACTGGGAAAAACAATAGAAGTGCATCGATAATATCCAATAAAATACACTAAACGACCTCCCAGTGAAGAACCGCATGATCTATAATTCTGATACGGCGTCGATTCTTCGACGCTGTTTTCCAGCCTCGCCGTGACGTCACGCTGCGTATCCCGAGCGCTCCCCGGAACGCGTGGTCCCGATCGCGAGCACGTGGAAGTGAGGTCGAGATGTTTCCGTGAGACGCGCGACTGATCATCAGGGATGTTGTGGGGGGGGGGAGGACCAAAAGGAATAGAAACGAGAGAAAACCCACCACGAAAAGCTGGAACCGAAGAGGTAAGAGAGTCCTTTCGTCCTTTTAAGCTATTTGATCGTTTGATCGATCCCACCGATTAATGGTAGTGTGAGGGAGGGAGGGGGGGGGGGGGTCTCTTAATCTCCCCAAGTGTCTGACGCAAACTTTATCTAAAGGAGCATTAGTCGCTGTGGATATAAAGGCAGTCGGGAAGTATTACACGCGCCTCCTACGACTCTTATTGTTCATTATCACGCGGCTGTTTGCGAGCCTTTATTCTCCTCGGAGCACAACGCGTGGAGCTGCTTCTGGCATCGTTTTCATCTCTGCTGTCACCGCGATCACAACAGGATGATAAAATGCACGCGTGACGGCACCCGGGACCGCTCACGGCTTCCAAAACCCGCGTGACGTCAGAACGACTGAAGACTTTTTTTTATGAACTGTATGTATTTGTTTTAATGTCCCCCTGTCCCGTGGGCACCGCTGAGACACCGGAGGACCACAGAAAGGTTGGGATTAGTGTGGATTCGTTGAGTGGGACTTTGTGGGTGGGCAGGACGTGTTTTGTGAGCAGGGACAGGGTGCTGCAAGTGGGTGACCTCAGGGGTCCCAGCCTCCATGACAACATGCGTCCAGCCTCCCTGGGGTTTTTGTCCTGGAAAACACTGGGTCCTTGTGAGGAGATGATGTAATTCAGCTACGACCATCAAAAGACACCAATGGGGATGCGTTTTTTTACTTTTGTGCTGGGCTTGGTTTGGGATGGGGGAGCGTTTGCGTGTCTTGGTTACAAATAACCGCAGTTTTAACCCACCATTCTGTGGCTGCATTCACCTGCAGAACACCTGCAGAGAAAGATAATGCTGAGTCATCGGAGCATCTGGAGAGCGCCTGTATTTTGGTGCAAACTGACCCCCCCCAGTAATCCAGCTGCTTGCGTAGTTGATTTTAAACTACTCTTAATGTCATGCTTTGTGCTACCTGACAAAAAATAGCCCCAGTATGTGCCTCTAATGCATGGGGGGGGGGGCATGGGGGTGGAGGGGTGTAACTAAGTGCATTTACTCGAGTAAAAGTTTGAGTTACATTCCAGTATTTTCCTCTCTCTACTGAACCATATCTCACAGAGAAATGTGCTTGTACATCACCGCAGTGTCACGCAGCTCCAGTTGGTTTATACATGATTCGTTTACCAAACAAAAACAGACAGTGAAATATGATTTTTTATTTTTTTATTATTCAAACTATAACAATAAAAAAAAAAGATCAGAATACTTCCTCCATCACTGCTCTAATGTATTCATTCACTGTGTATGAGTGATTGAGCTTCAAAAACACATGAATGTATTTCCAGTACCATCAAGGGCTCTTCTCACCACATGGAAGAAGAACAGTCTCGTCTGCTGCTTAAAAAAAGGTTTATTAACTTGTTTCCTCTCCAGCATGAGCCGCCTGCTGCCATCTTTTGTTTTCATCGGTAAAGTGCAACTGGAGAAAAGTTTTTTTTCCACAGTTGAGATTCCTTTTTTCCCGGAATCCGGAAAGTTGAGTTAAAAAAAATTTGCGGTGAAAGCGCACACGTGTTCTTCCAGTGGAATACGCTGAGCCAAACTTCAGCGCCCACACACACACACACACACACTTTTCAGATACTACAGAGGCCCAGAAATACTTGGAGGTCGGCTGTTATGTAACTTGTGTTTTTCAGAGCTGGAGTAGATTAAACTCCTCGCTATTATCACATGACATCACTTTCCTCTTCGGGAATACGCTGCCTCGTTTGCGCGCTCCGACTCCGAGTCGTCTGAGTTTTCTTTTCTTTTTTTGCTGCTGGCGGTGACGACTTGTGCTTTGGCTGCGTGCGCGGCGTTTTTAATTTGATCACGTTAGAATGTGTTGCTGAGAAATGTGACACGTTTGCTGTTGAGTGCTGTGCCGCCACCACACACTTCGCTTGGCGCTGAAGTTTAACTTCTCACTTCAAACTATCGTGACACTGCAGCTTTTGTAAATATCTTTCCATTTCATCGAACCTGTTCTGGACTGATTCCAGCACGTGTGTGTGTGTGTGTGTGTGTGTGTGTGTGTACTTGGTGCCGCTCGGTTTGTAGGTCACTCGGAAAGTGGAAGCTAGCCAGCTAGGCTAAGCATCTACGTTAGCGTCCCAGTGCTAACGCTTACCCCAGAGCCACTTTCCTTCCTTTGTGGATGTGTATGAGAACCCGAGTGGGTCGAGGAACGGGACTCGGGGTTAAAGGAGTTGGCTGCTTGCTCTTTGAGCTCGTAGAAGCTGAAGAACCAGATAACTTTATCTGAAGTCACATAAATAGGAATGAACTCTATACATCCATGACCAGAATGGACCCGACAGAGTTTGGGTGTTTCCTTTAACTTAAATTTGATACAAGACATTTTAATTTGACTAATTCTGAATAAGACGACTGATAAGGTTTTAACAAAATCAGCAGACATTTGTTTTATTTTTCACTCACCATGTAAATGATGTAGTGGGGATCATGTGTGTGACTAAACTACGTTATGAGGCCTTGGTGCCGTTTGGAGCAGCGGCTCGCTCACAGCCGCGTCTGGCTGTTGTGTAACAGTAATGGTCCCTCTGAGGAATGATGTCATTGGCGAACCACATGTGCTTTTTAAATATATAACTTGCTAAAGAAAGAAAACCGTATACATTCAAAACTCAATTTAAAACTTTCCCAGCGGCTCAGCGTCCACGTTCAAACACTTTAATCTCACGGAAAGTATTTTCCGACGAGCCCGTCTCAACTTCCAGCCCTGGGCGCTGTTGCCGGTCAGACCTTTTTGCACGCAGGGTGACGTCATAGCGCATAGCAGAGTCCTTTTGTCGTAGGCGTTATTGTACCGGCAATCCTCATCAAAGCGGGACGCACCAGCTGGGTTTGGAGCCGATTCTCCATATGGAGCCCGTGAGCGAGCCGAGAGGAGGCCGGGGTTCTGTGACGTCCCGCCGAAGGGGAGGAAGGCTGCTGTGGGCGGTGGGCACCGTACAATAGTGAAGGAGAGTCAAATGTCGAGGCGGTTACCTTCCAGAGCTGCTCTGTAAATTTACTTTATTTCCATTCATGTCAGATCACATAAACTAGACGATTTCCTGCTTTTCACTCTTCTGAGAAGATTTTCTGTGAACGTTGCTCTATTCTGTCGTTTTATCGGGCTACGTAATTCATATACAATATAAATAACTATAAAACACTTTAATCTAAGCGATTATTCTAGCCGAGATTAACACAACAAAACATTTTAATCTAGTTAACGTCCGTTTGTTGACCCCGGCAACGAAACGGCCGCTAGCTGCGGTCAGTTAACGTTACGTCAAGATGGAGAGAGCTTTTCGCATTGGAAGAGAAACAAACAGGCGCGACATACAGCGGAGAACTGTGCAGAGGAATCACTCCACGTGTCAAACAGAAGGGGGGTGAGTGACAAACGGACCACTTCAAGCACCGCTATGCTAAGCTAGCTGCTATGCTACTTCCTTCTCAACATCTAACGTTACCCTGCGGGACACACCGTCTGCGGAGGACCGCCACTGTGTCCCGAAAAGACTGTGGTTTGGAAACGTCATGGCTAAATGTGGGGAGGTTGTCGGCACTTCAAACACAGCGGTTGAATAATGGAGAATTGAGAGCAAAGTGCACGAGGACATCAGGAAGAGGTGGAATTCTGCCTCCAGGAGGATTAAATGTGTTGTTTTGTATTTAAAATTTAACAATTAAACAACAGTGTCTAACATTGAAAAGTGATTACTCATTATTTTAAAGATTTAGTCTTTAGAAGAAAAACAAACATTCATTAACTGAGATTAAAAATCTGCGATTAATTAGTTTTTTAATTTTCTTAATCTATTGACAGCCCTAATAAATATGCATTGTCTGCCTTCCATAAAATGAACTTGCTTGCCGTTATAGTTGGGGTTGTTGGCTCGGCCAATCACTTATTCATTCATCGACTTATTCATTATATTTAAAATACCATGAATAGTTTGTCTTTTGCGACTAAACACTAGAAGCTTTGTATATTTCTGATTATGATCGAGAAATAACGTTTACAGAGGCTGACAGTCTGCAGCAGAAGAGGAAGGCTGCACGAGTTAAATTCAAATCACCCGTAATGGAAAAAATATTCAAGGACCCACCGATTAGTGGACGTTGTCATTGTCCAGAAATGGAAGCATTTTAATCAGCCACACTGAGTGAATGAAACTGATGTCACGTGGAATTCTTAATGCATCCGGACGAAACTCGATGTTCCCGAATAATAAATCTGACTATAAAATGCCCGTCACTCTTCGTCTTATGGATGTGCTTTTCTGTAGCGCAGGAAGTCAAGGTTCACACTAACTGTTCTGCCCTTTTAGCCACACTGGTCCGTTCACCGCTCTTTGGTTCAGATTGAAGCAATTATTCCCGTTTGCAGGCAAGTTTAGTGTCACTGAGGCTGTGACACTGAGGGTGTCATAGTTAATTTGACTTTATGGGTGAGAAATACAATTCTGTAATTATTTAAATATTATTATGAAACACCATAAGCGAATGCTTTTCTATTCCCGTCATGGCCGAGCGAAACCAACGAGCATGAGGCCTTTTTTAAAAAGCCGCTTTCGTTGACGTCTCTGCTCCCTCACAGGAGCGAGCGAGAGGAGTCGTGGTCGGACACATTCACACTCAAAAGGCGGCGTGGAGGGAAACATCGGGGGGGGGGGGTACCCCGTTTTCTCCAGGTGAGACGAGTCACAATCGGCGAATAACGTGTTTGATCGTGCTGTCGGTTCCCCTCAGCGAGGGGAGAACAGACACAAACTGACCTACATGCCGTGTTTACGCGTCCTGTCGCTGTGCCAGTGGAAAGACTCTTGGTTTTGAAAGTAAACATGCCCACACATTTAATAATCATTGTCGAGCGGACGGGTGGACACCTCTGGTTGGCCTGCGGCAGTGGAGCCCGCATGTGTCGCCAGCTCTGTGCAATCCAGCATGCCACCAGAACACTGTGGTCTCCA